TACTGTTTCACATCTTTAAAGTGCTTTCAGTTTATGATATTAATAAACTATATGATTAGAGTAAATTAAGAATCCTTAGTGCTATAAAGTTTATGTTATTTAAAACTCACTACTTGTCTTGGGCACCATAAAGAAGTTAAAAATAAACTAAACTGTGAAATAGATGTAAGGAAATCCAACTAAATTTTTATTTTTCTCATGATACTAATGTTTATCTGAAAATATGAATTGTTAAGTTCTGTCAAAAATATCTGATACCCTTGCTTTACTTAAACCCTAAGATTTTTCTTAGAGTCCTAGCAGGGTAATTTTGTATCCTGTATTACTTTGAAAAACTGAAGCGCCTACGCTTCTAAATCTTAATTCCCTCCTCTATGATGTGAAGTATATATATTATTGGAGGTCTTTAAGATCAATTTCCCTTTAGGTATAATATTATAAAAATTTTTTTTATAAAGTAATTATTAGGAAGTAAAGGATTCTTAAAGCATACTTTCAAAGAGTAAAGTAGTAAAAAAAAATATTAACTTTGTTTTCTTGAGCCACGGTTAAGTGTACTGAAAAATATTTAGCCAAAAACTAGTTGATGAAAATGATCGATTCACTAAATGACTAACAAACCTAGAATTATCAGATCAAAACCTTAGCCCAGATTAAATGCACTCATCAGATCTGTTTCACTGGGATATGTATGGGGCCTGATCCAGGAAAATATGAGTAAAGTTCATCCATTCACTTATATAACATTGAGCATATGAGAAGCACTAGGCATCTCAAATGTTAACATGAGAAACTGATACTTAGTGGCCCAGGACTACAAATCCAAGGGAAATCGCTGCAGCAAAATCTTGGTGATACTAAAACTTAAACAAATAAAAATCTTGGGTAATTTAGCAAATAGATCATTCAGTGAACTGGCTTTTGGTGGACTGGTTTACTTCATTTACTTACTGCATTCTCCCCAAAATACATTCTTTAAAGCTTATTTAGTTTTTAAAGCATGTAAGACGAAGAGCAGTAAATGTATCTACCAGTTTTCTCAGGTATTTCTCCATGTTGGATCTTAACTTTGTTCAGCAAGGAAACCTCACTCTCATGTCTTTACCACATTGCCTAGAGACCGCTCCAAACTCTTTTGGTCTCCCTTTAGGCCTTCCTCCTTCACACCCTGGCAGTTCTCTCTCTCTCTCTCTCTCTCTCTCTCTCTCTCTCTCTCTCTCTCAAAAGACTGATGTATTCGCCTTCCTTTCTAGCTCTAAGTCTCAGACCCTAATCCAGACCATCATTATTGTGTAAGTGGACATTTGAGACACCTTTCTGTTCCAGCCTCTCAACTCCTCTTTAAATCCATTACAACTCAGGATGTGGACCTTGAATCACCTGCACTAGAACAGCTTGAGCCTAAGGTCCTCGTTAAGAATGTCAGTCTTCTGGGGAGAGGACTTGCTTTAGTTTACTTTTAGAAAATGTTATGCCTTGTACAGAGTAGGTGCCTCAACAAATGTTTACGTAATGGAAACTATTTCTATAGTATAGTCTTTTAGTATACTTTTGGAATGCATTACTGTGTACAGTATATAGTGTACTTATATAATTATTTACTTTAATTATTTTTAATCTTATGAAATAAAATGTAAACCCTTTTTTCCTTCTCTTACTTTGTAATATTTATAGAACTGAGTGTGTTATTGCTAAAGTTTAATTACTAACTCTTGAAAGCAGAATTATAATGGTGTAATACACTTAATCTGTCATCATGTCCATAATGTTGATCATCTATTTTCTTTTTATTCATATCTTTTAAATATTAGTCAAGAAAGATTATTTTCAGGAACCATTTGCTATCTTATTCTTAGAAATTAAGAAAAAATTAACTATTTTCATGCATAATTTTTGATTGACAAAATGCTTATAGCAAATTAATCAAATGATAGAAATTGTATTTGCCTTTCTCAGGGAAAGTTTATTGAGAAAAATACTTTTTTTTTTAATACCCACAACTATTTTGGCTACTCAGTGAATTAAAGCTGTAAGATAACTTCTGATTTTTCTAACAATCCATTTCTCATTTTCTAAAATCTGGGAGTCAGATGATATTACATGTAGCCCAACATATGCAGTACTCTTAGAAAATAGTTAAATGTCAAGGGCAAAATGTAAGTGATAATGTTACTATATTTCTCTGGTAAGTTTTGGGCCCAAAATATTCTATTCCTGTTTTGACACAGGTATGTTTTCCTTGATGAACAAAAACATAACTAAAATTGTAACTGGATAAAAAAAGATAGGTTGATTGAACCCTTTAAATCTTGGCTAAAAGTTGGTTTTATTATTAATAAGATACTTTAAAAACTGAATGTGATTCCGTGACAGACTCTCTCTCTCTGCTGCTCCCAGTGCCACAGCTGTCACTTTTATATTTCTCAGTTTATGTGATGCATGCTGTGTTGGTGCCTGAGAGCAGAATAGAAAAATGAAAACCTCAACTAATCAAAAGCTTCCCATATTGATGAACATAAAATTGTCTTGATGGCTTCCCTCTTAGTGTTTTATGGCCTAAATATACAGTTAGTTTAACTATTGTTCCTATTGACTTCCTTTGAAATCACAGCAAAAAACACTTATTTTCCTCAGCATTAATTTTAAAAATTATTTTTGACATGGGAATTACTGAAAAGAATTAGTATAGTTATTACTTTTAACCTGTAGATATGGACTATATGCCTGAAAGGTTTTTTCTGACACAATTCTGTCTTGACATAATCTTGGCTGTGCTTTCATGTCTGAATATTGTGATCAGATACTAAGTATAAGAACATGTTTGTAACATCAGTGCGGTACATGTCGTGGTCAGGAACAAGGTTTTAGAGTGAGACAGTCTTGGGTTTGGATCACAGTTCTGTTCCTTATTGCCCCTATTCCTCAGGAAATTATTTAACCTCACTGGGCCTGAATTCCCTCAGTTGTACTGTAGGAACAACCAAAACCACTTTGTTAGGTAGAGCTGGTGTGAAGATGAAAGTATATTATGTATTCACAATGAATGAAATAAAGCACCCTGCTTGGAATGTAGGTGTAGCTGAATTCGGCTATGGTAGCAGGAGTATTATTTGTATCTTTAGTACCCATTTAATGAGATAGGCATAGACACCTTGCCCTAGGTTAGGAATCATAGCATAAAATAGAACCTGAGAACTTTTGGTTGGTTTTAGTTGCAGAATTACCCACAGAGGTTCAAGCTAAATTCTTTTAAGCTAGATTCTTTTAAGAAAAAAGAACATTTATAAAATTTCCTTAATTTTCACACTAAATGCGTTATCTCTAAAAAAAAATAAGAAACAGAATACTAAAACAATTTCTTCAAAGGATTATTTTTAAAGGATGCCTTTTCAATATATGAGCATATTACTTTGGACATATTGCTATGAATTAGAAAACATAACATTGTACTTGTTTTGATTGACATACGGAGGATAATGGAAACCAGACTCAGATTGTATCTATACACTGAGCAGGAATATTCCTATAATACACTAGCATGATGCTGTTGTATGTATTTCTGTCAGGAAACTTATATTAGAAATCTCAAATAGACACAAAAGTAGACAGAATAATATATACCATGTACCCATCATCAGCTTTAGAAATTATCACGTGGCTAATATTGTTTAACATATACCCCCATCTGCTTCTCCTCTTCCATAATTTGTTGAAACAAATCTTATATGTCTTATTTCATCTGTAAATATTTCAATTTACTTATATAAAAGATAGAGACTCTTGTAACCTACAAGAGTAACCTACAAGAGTACCGCAGTAACCTACAAGAGTATCGCAGTACCATTATCACACTTTAAAATAATAATTTCTTAATATCTTCAAATATCAGTCCATATTCAAATTTTCAGTTGTCCCATAATTGTTATAATTTTCTGACCACTTTGTCTGTTTGAATCAGGATCTAGGTAAGGTCCACACTTACCTTTGGGATTTTTTAATACATATTGTGAGGCTCCTTTTTTTTTTAAATATATTTTATTGATTCTTCACAGAGAGGAAGGGAGAGGGATAGAGAGTCAGAAACATCAATGAGAGAGAAACATCGACCAGCCGCCTCCTGCACACCCCCCACTGGGGATGTGCCCACAACCAAGGTACATGCCCTTGACTGGAACCGAACCTGGGACCCCCCAGTCCGCAGGCTGACGCTCTATCCACTGAGCCAAACCGGCCAGGGCATGTGAGGCTCCTTATAGTCTGTTTACTTCTTGAAATTTATTGAAGAAAATGGGTAATTTGTAATTTCCTATAGACTGGATTTTGCTATGTAATTTAACATACACTTCTCACCCTGTTTTCCTGTGAAATTATAGTCATTAAATCTAGAGGCTTAATCAAATCTAGTTTTGATTTTTTTGGTAAGGCAAGACTAATATAGAGGGGTGATGGTATCTAGCTGATGTCTGTCTGGTTGTCTCTCTTTTGGGTGATTGGCAGACATGCAAGTTCGATGCTTAGATCCATTAATTCATCAGACATTGCAAAATGCTGATATTTTATCTCTTGCATTTCTTCTTGATTTATTAGCTATAAGATTTCTCTAAAGAGATACTTTCATCTATTGTTGAAATAGCCTAGTGTTTGGCTGTACTAATAACCCATGAGAACAATCCATAAGATGTCATCACACAACTGGTATTTTTAATTATCTGCCAACGTTATGGTCATTATAATTTAGAAATGGTGATTAAGGTATATATCTCTATTTATATAATGTTTGTGTATATAGATATAGTTCTCTTAAGGTATTTAAAGTTAGCATACAAAAGATATGCCAAAGAACAAATATAAACATAAATTTAATTTTAAAAATACAATTCTTAAGGATTGTACCTGCTTTATACATTTCAAAATGTCTGTAAATTTACCTAGAATTTTCTGACTTATTGAACACTTGTGTCTATTTTTTAACACTATTTCTCTAAAATGTTCGTTAAAAGGGAATGCAGTGGTGTCTTTTGAAAGAAGAGGATGTCATTCCTCGCATCAGAGCAATGGAGGGCCGTAGAGGAAGACCGCCAAATCCAGAGAGACAGAGGGCAAGAGAGGAGTCCAGGATGAGACGTCGGAAGGGCCGGCCTCCGAATGTTGGCGGTGCTGAATTTCTAGATAACACAGATGCCAAATTGCTAAGAAAACTGCAAGCTCAAGGTAAAAGGCATAATGTATCTGACACTGCAATTCTCATACTGAAAAGTATGTTTCTTCCGTTTTTGACTTAATGATTTGACGTTGCTCTCAATTTCTAAAATGTAGATATTTGTGTTAAAATAAAGGGAAAATTAGAAGTCCCACTGGTAAATGGAGTTCTTTGATTAGGTAAGCTCCTTTCAAGAGCCACACTCATAAACTCATCCTACCCTATGTGATTAGAATTATAAAAGTGGGTGATAAGCTTTTAAGGCTCACACAGAAAAGGAATCAACCAGCACTTGGCACACACCTCAGGGTTGTGCCAACCTTCTGGAATTCTCATGTTAACAGCTCCCGATTCCTTGAGGTGGTACGAGGGAATAACCAAAATATGTGGATCTGTGCAGTAAATTTTCAATCAGAGAACTCCAATTGCTGGTGAGTAACCCCAGGCTCTTAGTTTGGATTCCTCTGCAGTTTGGATATATTACATAATTTCAAAATGCCCATCTAATATATTTAAATCAGAATGTATTCATTTTAAGATAAACGAAAGATCATTTATTGAGCACAAAGTGCTCATAATAATCTCAAATGTATTTATGATTTGAAATTATACATAAATTATCAACATGAACATCTCCTGTTATATCTGACACAGAAAATGCTGACTAAAGTAATTCTGCTATGAGTTTGAGTTACAGGTTACAAGTATGAAGCCTCTTAAGACTGTTTGAATGTGTATCAATATATGTGTTGGTATCTTGTGTTCACAAGCATCCTATATAATAAAAGGCTAATATGCAAATCAACCGAACAGCAGAACGACCAGTCATTATGACGCGCACTGACCACCAGGGGGCAGACACTCAACACAGGAGCTGCTCCTTGGTGGTCAGTGCACTCCCACAGGGGGAGCGCTGCTCAGCCAAAAGTCAGGCTGATGACTGGTGAGGGCGGTGGTGGTGGCGGGAGCCTCTCCCGCTTCTGTGGTAGCGCTAAGGATATCCAACTGATGGCTTTGGCCCGCTGCCTATGGGCTCCCCCAAGGGCTCCTGGAGTGTGAGAGGGCACAGGCTGGGTTGAGGGACCCCCGTTGAGTGCATGAATTTCAGCACCAGACCTCAAGATAATATATATATCAATGTAAAATAAAGGTTTAATTATAAAATTGACAAAAAAGACTAACAGGATTTTACTACTTCTATGTTTTTTGTTTTGTTTTGTTTTGTTTATTTCTGGAGAAAAAGCCTGATTTATTTCTATTTATTGTAAACACCGTCATAATATTGACTTCTTTTTTAGCTGCTTTGTTTTTATTATAAAACAGATATCCACAACAAAAGCTCATAGAACAGAGTGTTACAAAATAAAAGACACTTATTCACACTCACTTTAAAATAAAAGATACTTAAGAATAAAATTGTTAAGTTTGTTAATCTATCCAGAAATGTGTACATACATACTCATATTTATAATGTAGATGTAAATATGCAATATAACATGTTGTAATACATATATCCTTTAGATTTCTAAAATAAATGGACTTATAGTGTATATATACTATTAGCTTGCTTTTTCCCCCACATAATTTTCTTGAACATCTTTCTGTATCAAAGCTTTTAAAACCACCTTATGCCTTTAATGGCTGAATAGTAAGTAGTAAGCGATGCCACATATTGCTTTACTATACTCATTTGATCAGTCTCTCTTTGATGACTGTTTAAGCTGTTTTTTTGATCTTTGCTATCATAACCAAGGTTGCAATACATAAGTATTATACATATCTTCTATAGGTATGGCTATCTATAGTGTAAAATACTAGAGATAAAATATCTGAATCAAAGAATATGTGCATTTCAAGTTTTGATAAATAATTGGCAAATACTATCTCTAAAGAGATTGCTCCACTTTATACTTCTACCAATGGCATGCAATTAACTGCTTGGCATATAACTTCATGTCCTATAAATTTTTCTCTGCTTTAGTATGTTATTTTATGTGGTTTCTATTAAGGCTTTAATCTCCCCTGAATAGTTACTAGTGAAGATATTTTTAAAGTTAATATATGAACATATATAGCAGTACATGATGAGTTTTTATCATCAGTATTGTCAATAAACCACTGATTCTTCTGAAGAATGTATAATAGTAGGGAGTGTGCATTGTTTGCATAAAATAAGAAAGCTTAGTATTAACTGATACCCAAAACATGGGTTCTTCTTGCATGTTTTTTTATATCTAATACAAATATCAATAGTGCCCAAAATGACAACTTTATATTTGCACACTTAATTAAATTTTATTTTATAATAGAAGTTAATTATTCATCTTTTACCCAATGATTTTTCTCCCTGTAAATTTCCAATTAGTTTGTATTGTTGCATAGTTCTCCGTTATTGCATTATAGTAGCATTTTTCCAATTTCATTACTTTTGACCTTAGTGTGTGTGTGTGTGTGTATCCTTTCTCAACATGTATATAAAGGGTATATGAGTAATTATTACTAATATTTACAAGTGAATGGGGTATAATATGCATGTTTTGTGGGGGAAGAAAAAGAAAGTAGGAACAAATCACTTTATCATTTATTTCTAAAAGGCTTCTACAGTAACTGTTTGGGGTAGTTAAGCTGAGGGGATTTTAGAAGTTTTTGTTCCATAGTATTATTTTGTTAGGATTCACCTAGACTGAAAAACTGGACTTAATTTGAGGTTCAGAAGAGTAAAATAAATGCAAATTTTGAACGTTTATTCAAGCATTGTGACATGAGAGCTCTCTAATTTCTCAGAGACTACAGATAAGATTCTGACAGTTTAAAATTGAAAATCAGACACATTCAGATTGTAGATGTCTAAAAATGCATCATAGAATAAGAGAAATGTGCTATACTAAAAATATCTCTAATTCTATGTGAAAATAAACTTTTTTTCAAAATAAACTTTTATCTTTGAAATTTTAGCAGACATACAGTGTCTTTAAACCATCCTATATAATAAAAGCCTAATATGCTAAGTGTGTGGCCATCCAGTCATCTGTTCAACCAATCAAAGCATAATCCTATATAATAAAAGGCCAATATGCAAATAGACCAAACGGTGGAACGACCAGTCGTTATGACATGCACTGACCACCAGGGGGTATATGCTCAATGCAGGAGCTGCCCCCTGGTGATCAGTGTGCTCCCACAGGGGTAGCACCACTCAGCCAGAAGTCCTGAGCCGGGCTCATGGCTGGTGAGCACAGCAGTAGTGGCGGGAGCCTCACTTGCCTCCGCATCAGTCGGACATCCCCCAAGGGCTTCCAGACTGTGAGAGGGTGCAGGCCGGGCTGAGAGACTCACCCCCAAGTTCATGAATTTTGTGCATCAGGCCTCTAATATGCTAATGATATGCTAAGGTCGCTCAACCGCTCGCTATGACATGCACTAACCACAACGGGGCAGATAGTCGACCTGTCGACTAGTCGCTATGATGTGCACTAACCGCCAGGGGGAAGATGCTCCGACCAGTAGGCTAGCTTGCTGCTGGGGTCCAGCCGATTAGGACTGAGCGAAACAGGCTGGACACGCCCTGGAGCCCTCCCACAGTCCCTTCCTGGCTGGCCAACCTCCCACGTCCCTCCCTGTCCCCTGTTGTGCACCAGTGGGGTCCCTCAGCCTGCCCTGCACCCTCTCAGAATCCTGGACCCTTTGGGGGATGTCGGAGAGTCAGTTTCAGCCCGATCCCGCAGGCCAGACTGAGGAACCCCACTGGTGCACAAATTCGAGTACCGGGTCTCTAATAGTATATATTTGTAAATTAATATTTCAAAAGATAGTTATAACAATATATCCAGCAATGATGAACAAATAAAAGAGAAGATATTGGAAACAGTTTATTTCTCAGAGCTTGAGTGAATTTTCTAGGTCTCTTATGAGTAGATATTGGAACAGTTGATTCCTCAGAGTCTGAGAGAATTTTGTAGGTTTCTTACTTATTCTCCTCCTCCATTGGGTCCTTAACTTTTTCACATTTTTCCACTTCACATCTCCTGCTGCTCAGAATATAAAATTTAAGGTACATAATTTTTTAATTAAAATTGTGTCATTGTAATCTTCCTTGCTAAAGTGAAAAAGTATGAGTTCTACATTTTAATGTTTTTCTGTCCTAAGGGTTTAAAAATAAAAATAACTGTATACTTGTGTGGGGCTTAAAATTGACTGATATATTCATACGCAAAGATATACCTATAGATATTATAGTTTTTAAAAATGTGTGTGTGTGTGTGTGTGTATGTATATACATATATATATATATATATATATATATGCCAGACTTCTTTTAGAGATCATCAATTCAGCTTAGAACACAAGGTCATACTTACACCACATTTTTTAACCACCACTTAATATATCTTACATTTTAAGACATATTTAGGTCTTTAAAACAGAATTCAGTGCAAGTTTTTAGTTCTTATAGATTTACCTGGTACTATCATAGATGAGAACAGTATCCTTCAGGTGTATTATTATCAGAGGTTGCAGCCTCTGTGGGCCATTTGATAGATTTTTTTATTTCCCAAAGTATTTTGTGAACAGGAGATCCTTTTCATGTAGTTCAGAAATTTTGATGATGCTTGTAGCCCCCTAACAATGAACATTATTTGATTGGGGATATATTTAGCATCAGCTTCCCTTTCATCTTTCATTAACACTTCAGTTGACTAGATAAAATTAGACCCCTCTCCTTCTTTTAAGTCTTGATGATAGAAAATCGGCCATAGTAACCAACTTCACCTCAGCTTGTACAAAGATATAGAGTTAAGTTCTTACCTATAATCTCAAGGTGTTCAAATTTTCTTAATGGTTTCCAGAAAGCTCGGCCGGTATGGATCAGTGGTTAAGTGTCAACCTATGAACCAGGAAGTCATGGTTTGATTCCTGGTCCGGGCACATGCTGGGTTGTGGTCTTGATTGTGGGGCTCGGGCAAGATTCTCTCTCATCATTGATGTTTCCCTCTCTCCCTCTCCCTTCCTCTCTGAAATCTATAAAATATATATATATATATTTAAAAGAAAAAAAAACGTTTTCAGAAGTAGTGGCATATAAACTGTGGAGTCAGAAAAACCTGGGTTTATATCTTGGCTGTGCTACTTAATTTTCTTGAGCTTAGTTATTCTTTTGTAAACTGGACATAATGTTGCCTATCTTATAAGGTTGCTATAAAGATTAAATAAGCTTATGTAAATTTTATACAATTCAATAAATGGTAGAAATTATTAATAGAGCTCAAGCAATTCAGGTGTTACCAATTATATTCATTATTGGTGAATATAATCTATAGGTGTGGTTTTTGTTTCTGTGTTATGAGTTCTTTCTCTTTTTTCTTTTTAGCTCAATCCCTCCCCCATCCCTACCCTCATCCCCAGCCTGCTCTCTAGCTATGAATCTGTCTCTATTTTCCTTGTTAGTTTAGTGGTTCATTAAGTTCCACAGAGGTGTGAAATCATATGGTACTTACCTTTCTCTGACTGGCTTATTTCACTTAGCATAATGTTCTCTAGGTCTATCCATCCATGCTGTCGCAAAGGATAACATTTTCTTCCTTTTCACAGCTGAGTAGTATTCTGTTGTGTAAATGTACCATAGCTGTTTTATCCACTCATCTACTGATGGACACTTGGATTGTTTCCAAATTTTGGCTATAGTAAATACTGCTGCAATGAACAGAGGGGTGCAAATCTTTCAAATTAGTGTTTTGAGTTTTTTCTGATATATTCTCAAAAGTGGAATTGCTGGGTCATAAGGCAGTTCCATTTTTAATTTTTTGAGGTAACATACTGCTTTACACAGTGGCTGCACCAATCTGCATTCCCACCAACAGTGCCCAAATACAACAGTGATCTTGAGAAAGAAGAACAATGTTGGAGTAATCAAACAAAAAAAAGAAAATCAAGCTACTTGGTAAACTATACTACAAGGCCATACTAATTAAAACAACATGCTACTAGCATAAAAGCAGACATATAGATCAATGAAACAAAATAGCCTAAAAATAAATACATACCTTTTATAGTCAATTAATATTTGACAAAGACGAAAACATACAATGGCTAAAGGTAGTCTATTCAGTAAATGGTGTTGGGCCCTTGCCAGTGTTTCCCAGTGGTTAGAGCATCAGCCCATGGACCAAAGGGTCATGGATTTGATTCCCAGTCAAGGGCACATACCTCAGTTACAGGTTTGATCCCTAGCCTCAGTCAGGGCATGTGCAGAAGGCAACAAATCGATGTCTCTCAAATCAATGTCTCTCTCTCTTTCTCTCTCTCTTTCCCTCCCCTTTCTTCCCTCCCTTCCACTTTCCCTAAAAATCAATGAAAAAAATAGATGATGTTGGAAAAATATATAGGTTTCTTAAAACTTCATCTGTGACATAGTTTAAAACAATGTCTAATGTAAAGTATTTTCTGAAATGATTTTTGGTGTTATGGTAAACCACTTTTATAGTTAGAAGTATTCCAACCAAGTTTACTGGCAGAGAAAGCATGACATTACATGTTTTCTGTATCAGTTACCTATCGCCACAATAATTCTGGGAAAGAACCAACCACAAAACATCAGTGGTGTACACCACTGAGCATGACATGTGCAGATGAAATCAGCTTGAGGTACATAAGGAGGCACTGCTGATCTTGGCTGTTCTTGTTCAGATGTTGGCAGTCAGCTGGCTCCATGTATCTCAACCCCCAGCAGACTAGCCCGAACATGTCCTCATTCTAAAGGACAAGGCACAGAGTAAGAGTAGAAAGAGTACAAGTACACTTTTCAGACTTCTCTTACATCACAACTGCTAACATCCTGTTGGCCAAAGAAGATCACATGACTGAACTCAGAATCAAGGGACAAGAAAATACATTGCACGTCTTGATGAGAGGAGCTGCAGAGTCACATTGCAAATGACATGGATAGAGGGAGGAATGAAGAACTGGGAACATTGTTATGCCCCATCGATTCTAGTCATACTAGTACATTTATCCTTAAAAATTATGAGAACTAAGTTAGTTGTCCTTTACTCTATACTTTTTTTTTTTAGGAGATTTAGTCTCTCTCCTTCATTAATGAAAATTTCATTGGATTCAGAAACTTTACCATTTATATAGCTGAAGTGTTAAGTTTGGGGTAACATTATGTTTGTGTTTTTTTGGGTTCTTTTTCTTTTTTATACATTTTTTGTTGTTTTTAAGACTGAAGCTAAATCAAGTTTTTTTTGCAGTTACTTTTCTACTAAGTGGCAATTAGATGAAATGTGAAAAGCAATGTGCTTAGATTATTCTCTGTGATGAGAATTAAGAGAAGCATCATTTTTGGGTAGTTTCATATACGGGATCATATTTGATGAAATAGATTGGCAATTTCTAAGGGAAATGAACATGACATTTTCTGCCACACCATTCTCCTACTTCATTTCTAATCTTAGGCAGTTTTCTTTAAAAAGTGTTTCCTTCCTGATGATACCAATTTCACAAAGTTTTTAGGTTGTTTTTAGATGACAGTTATGTAAAGTTGTTAATGATATTCTTTAAAATTTTGTGTTTTTCAGAAATAGCCAGGCAAGCAGCACAAATAAAGCTTTTGAGAAAACTTCAAAAGCAGGAACAGGCTCGGGTTGCCAAAGAAGCTAAAAAACAACAAGGTGGGTGATTTAAATGATAGCATAAACTTTAAGCATAAATATTGGATAATTCATGAAAGACATCTCTTCTTCATTCCTTTTCTGATGGTGTCTGTGCTTTGGTTTTTCATCATAGCAATAATGGCTGCTGAGGAGAAGCGAAAGCAAAAAGAACAGATAAAGATTATGAAACAACAGGTAAGTTTACACATTGGAACTGATTTTTCAAACCCAGGTGTTATTTTAGGGATCTATTTGTATATGTGATACTTAACCTTATTTTCACTAGTATTTCTTATTAATGTTATATATCTTATTTAGAAAGCTTTCCTTTTCATTATTTAAAATTCACCTCATTTTTAAACCATGTCTCCTACTTCCAAGTTGTCTAAAAAGTGATCACCAAACATAAATTTGTGTAAGTACTTTTAATATCCTGATAGAACTTGAATGTAAGTTGGCATCTAGAACAACTATCAAACTTTTAAAATTAGTGTATCAATAATGAAGGGTAGTGCTTAAATGTTCAAATTTTCATAACAAAAGCTTGTTCTAAAATATGTAAAGTACTAGTAAAAAATTAAATTCAAGTTATATAGAATAAGATTTGCCTCATTGCTTCTGAATGTTAAAAATTAAAATATAAATTACTATTGCAAAAACAATGAAGAAAGCATTATTTCACCATACCTAGCATTCTTTTGTACATTATAATATCCTTCCCTTATCTAGTTTTCAAAATTAAGTATCAATAGACGAAGTAATTTTTAAATTCATATAGGAAAAGCATTGCCTTGATAAGACATTCAACTTCATTTAAGATGGGAATATGTGAACTACTCTTCCATCTCTTACATATTCACCTAATCATTAAAGCAGAAAGGAAATTGGGGGAGACTCCTATTCCTTCAAAATTTTTAAACAGCAAGTAGTTATTTTTGAGTATGAAATGAAGTCAATTGTGTTGTGTAAGTAGCTGCTAAATAAATGTCTTGGGTTGGATTTGATGTGGTTATCTTTTAAGTTTCCTTCCAGTATTGACTAAAGCAGTATGATTAGAGAGAGTTGATCTAGAATTGGGATTCAGAATTAAGAGTTTGTATTTAGGCAGCCTAGAGTTGAATATGGGCTCTGCTACTTAAGAATATTGCTCCTGGCTAATGTAGCTCAGTGGTTTAGCATCGACCTTTGAACCAGGAGGTCATTGGTTCAATTCCTGGTCAGGGCACATGCCCGGGTTGTGGACTCCATCCCCAGTAGGGGGGGAGTGCAGGAATATCATTGACCTCTCTTTCTCTTTCTCTTTCTCTTTCTCTTTCTCTTTCTCTTTCTCTTTCTCTTTCTCTTTCTCTTTCTCTTTCTCTCTCTTTCTCCCTCTCTCTTTCTCTCTCTCTCTCTCTCTCTCTCTCCCTCCCTCTACCTCCCCTCTCTCTCTCTCTCCCTCCCTCTACCTCCTCTCTGAAGTCAATAAAAAAATATTTAAAAATAAAAAAGGGTTTTGTGACCCTTAAGTGAATTAATAAACCTCTAAGTCTATCTCTTCCATTATGAAAGAAAATAACTGCATTATCTAAAGATCAAATGAGATAATGAGTGAAAAGTGCCTACCACAGTACCTGGCACAAAGCAAATGCTCACTTTTTAAAAGATAGGTATAAAACCCAAATTGTATGGTACATTCATTCTTTTACTGTAATTAAAAGTAGTCAGTTGTAAACTCAGATTCCTTCCTTTGTTTTTTAATTGTTTCTGCCAAAGAGACTATAAGTTTTAATATTTAGTGCATATTATACATATATAATTAAGTTTACATCTCATTTTAAAGTGAAATACTCTTGTTTCTGTTACACATTTTAATAGCTTATCCTATATCCTAATGGCTAGAGACCCATCAAATCTCATCAGTACTTAAATTCAGCTTTGTAATCCTAAAGTCTTGAAGTGGCTACAACCAACAAATACATAGCTTTTGCTGCTTATAAAAAAGGCATTGAGTTCCAAGTTTCCAGAAACATTAATATAAATGAGCTGGTCTTAGATATTCATCAAGATATTTATCTGAGGCCAGTTTCAGAATACCATCTGACTACTACTTATTGCCAACAAAATGAATCAAACTATAGCTTAGTCAGTTACCTATTGCCTATTTTATTAAAAAAAATTTTTTTTATTGATTTCAGAAAGGAAGGCAGAGGGAGAGAGACAGAAACATCAATGATGAGAGAGAACCATCAATCAGCTGCCTCCTGCATCCTCCCTACCTGGAATTGAGCCTGTAACCCGAGCATGTACCTGTCCAGGAATCAAACCATGACTTCCTGGTTCATAGGTCGACACTCAACCCCAGAGCCACACCAGCAGGGCCATATTGCTTATTTTAAAGTCAGCATTTGATCTAGAATAAATAGTGCCATGTGCTTCTTATCCTCTGGATTATTTTTTCTATCTAGTACAGCGGTTCTCAACCTGTGGGTCGAGACCCCTTTGTTATAGCTACCATGGTAACCTTTGGTAATTCTGTACTTATATCTTAAATTATTTCATTCCACTTAAATACTTTTCAACTAGATATTCAGTTCACTTTATTATCTTTAATTATCATATTTTTTCCTACAGGAAAAAATTAAGAGAATACAGCAAATCAGAATGGAAAAAGAACTCCGAGCCCAGCAAATTTTAGAGGTAGTATTCTTAAATTTGATATAATTAAAGTAATATAGTCATATAGTTTAAAGTCTGCAAAAACAAAAATTTTACATATAAGTTCTCTTACTCATATTAATATATTCATCAGAAATTCTCTTTCAACGTAATGTAATAGTAAAACTATCTGAACCTTATTTAGCAAGCTCATTTTATCCTAGCAATGAAAACTGAGAAAACATAAAAAGAGAAAACCTCTGGACAGCCAATATCATTGTCATGAAGATCATGGGTGAAAACTCATGTTCTTTACTTTTGAAAAAATCATCAGGACTTACAGTCAGATGTTTTCTTTTAATTTAGAAATAAAACATTAGAAAAGTAAAAATAAATTTTAAATGTTTAACCAGCTTAGTTTTCCAGTTTCTAATATATCCCTCTTTCCCACAAGCTGATAGGAATAGAGGACCTGTTTGGCATCAGCAAAAGCAATAGCCAAAAGATAGCAAGGGAAAAGAAAGAAAAACTCCAAACAGCATATCTAAAGGCCTAATAACAGTCTAATCTTTTAGTTGAATAGCAAGCAATTTTCAACAATTTAATAGTTGAAAGACATTACTCTATCAAATTGTACATATAATAACTGATGTTTAGAATAATTGTTCCAAGTAATCAAGAAAAAAACAAATTTTTAGTGTACTATGTCTAAGCAGGCATATATCTCAAAATTACTTCCATCCAAAATAGTGAAAATAAACTTTTAATGTTAAAGTTATTCATTATAATCTCTCACCTATTCAGGAAACTCTTGCTATATAGAATAATTTATTCCCTGAGGACTCCAGGTAGCTGAAGTTTTCTATGTTTCAGGCTTTTTTCCTTCTAAACATATATACATATTTCTTTTCTCATTATAAGTTAACTTAAACCCCTCCAATAGAAAATATTCCTATCTTAAACTAAATTGAGAATAACTACGAGGTAGTTATGAAGCTATTGGATAGGTAACGACTTAAGATTATGAAGCTCAGATTTGATAGCATGATCTTGATATTCAAAATGTGCTTCATGAAAAATTATGTTTCCATTCTATTAAAAAATAAAACACCTTGAATTTAACCACAATATACAGGTAGGGAAAATCAAATCTACCATGTTTCATTTAAATGTTACTGAGTGATGGCTTTCTTTATCTCAGATTTCAAGTATTTTTTTTATTTCAAATAAAGTGGATATGTGCAGCTTTTTAAATGTTACTGATATATTCTTTAAATAACTTGTATTTATCCGTTAAAATTTATCCTATTTTCTTAATTTGTATTGTGATCATGTTTTACTTTTAAAAACCAGAAATTAAATTTTAAAGTAACAAACACTCAATTGTTTCAGACTTTTAATAGAGTAGGGAGATAAGAAAAGCTGACATATTCTTACAAATTTAAGAATTTTCTATACATCGTAATGTTTATATATTAGAAATAAAAATTAGTATGTTAAATATAATGTTGTTTAATGTGTGAAATCTGTTACTGTCTGTATGTTCCATATTGTTTTGTACCTTGTGAGGCATGTAGTTCCGTTTTCAAGTCTGAGATTATTTTGAAGTTGTGGTGCTGTTGCATGACTTTGAGACCTGTTTTGCATGCACAGGCGAAAAAGAAAAAGAAGGAAGAAGCGGCAAATGCCAAATTATTGGAGGCCGAGAAACGAATAAAGGTTAGTTTAGATGAGAATCAGAGTTTTTGTTTTTCAAAAATAAAAACTATATGATGTTATTCCAGTATCAGTTATATGAAAAAAGTAGCTGTCCTCAAAATGACCAAGACGATGTTTAGCAGAGATACCTGTGTATAATGTGTGCTTTTATTGTATGTGTAGTGTATGTTTATATATTTTTATTTTATTATACAGGTTTTATGTGACACTTTGAGTTCTTTAAATAGCAGACATCAAATCAGAAATGCAAACTATTGTGTGATACCTGTGTATGGTTTTGCTGGATAAGAATGATCTCCCCAAGCCATTGTGTGTCATTTATGTTTCAAATTGTGTCCCAAATCTTATTCTCTCCTTAAATTATAACTTTCTCTTTATTAATGTCCTGTTTTAACTGTTAAAAAGTGAAAAGGCTAAGGAAACAAAAACCAAACCTTTATCAACTGGTATTTACCATCATAAAATTAGCCATTGTTAATTATTGTAATTTCAAGTGTTGTTTGGGGGTGTTTTGGTTTTGATTTTTCTGGCATGAATTGTAAGAGACTTGGACACCTGTACCTTACACATTCCACTCCTTACCTTCCAATGTTCTGATAATTGATGACTGAAATACAGGACATACTGATCCTATGGCTCTGGTAACAGCCACCACAATGTATCTTATCAAGCCAGGGAACTATTTGCTACCTTTCCCACATAGACTCTACTCTCCTACTTTGTTCTTTAGACTCTATCCCCTTTCATGGCTGTCCTTAATATTAATTTTATCCATGTCTTACCTTATATAAAATATTTAAATTGGTGACATTCATAGAATTGTTTATTTTAAGCAACATCCCTTAGGGATGGTGCATGAAAATCTCAAACTGATCCCATTGTCTCTTCTCACTCTCATGTACATACAGCATATAGAAATGTTATAGCTGCTGTTAATTATAGAGTATATTTGGGAATCTATAATCAGAGTGTAGAGAGTTGTTATCAGCTAGATTTGAAGGTTGTGTATTAAAATCATAAAAAAATACATGTGCCATTTGTATCTGACATGCACTGACCATCTAGTCACGCCAATGAACTTGCGATTGAAGTGTGCTGTTAGGTCACTGCATTTTAAGTTTAAATGGATACTGAATAAAGATCCTTGCTACTGTCATACATAGCTTTTATGTAATAGATAGAACTACATATAATTGCTTTTTTATAATTTTAAAATGTTAGAATATTTGCAATTTTATGTTTTAATCTAATGGAAGACTATAGAATCTCAGAAAAGGAATTTTTAATACTTGTAGCATGTTCTAAATCTTCCCTCAAAATTATATATTAAAAGTTTCTTATCTTTAAGGAAAAAGAAATGAGAAGACAACAAGCTGTTCTTCTGAAGCATCAGGTCTGTATACATATTTTTATATACTTGTTGAAATGTACATTTTATCATTTTTCTTAAATCTATTTTGAAAAAAATCTTCAAAATATTTTCTTAAATATTTCCAATATAATTCCTGCTTAAGTTTTTCCTTCATCTTACAGTTTATTGCCTTGCTTTGGTATTGGTGTCTTTTGGGGGGTTAAAAAATTGGTTTCGTGACTCTGTGATTTCTGTTTCATAATGTTGTGCCAACTCTTTCTACCAGGAGTTGGAGAGGCATAGACTAGATATGGTATGGGTATGTTTATTTTTGTACATCTAACACCGCATTGTGATTTGGTTGTGATATATGGTTGTCATAGCAATGCATAAAGTGTAGCACTGGCTGCTGTCATATTACATACTGCTGCATGGCTTTACAGCACAGTGCATTGCATACATCTGCTTGTCTGTCTATCAAGAAGTGTGATCCATTTCCAAGATTTTTAATTGAATTGTGCAAGCCTTATATAAGGTTGCTGTCTAAAAATTTACTTACTGATGTCACAGTGAAAGTTAGGTCACTATACAATTTGAGACAATTATGACCCATATTCTCCCATCATTCTAGACACAAAACTGCCATTGAATACAATGGGAATTTTGAGTTAGGTTGATGAGAGAATATGAAATATAATCTGGTTTTATAGACAAATTTTAGAATTAATTTTAGAAATATCCCTTTAATGGGACCAGATAGATTTGAACAAAAAAAAGATTAAATATTATAACTGATTTTTTTTATTCTAAAGAAAATGAGATTGTCAAAGTAAGCCAGTGCTTACCTTATTTTTATATTGTGCATTTTAGATTCCACTTACTAGCCCCTGGTGCAGCTTTTGTGGCTTTAAATAGCGCATCAAGTGGCAGACATCAGTAAATAGGATTATCCCATTTCATTGGTGTCAGTGTATGAACCACGACTAGTTTAAATTGGTATAAAGGCTTTTAAAAAAACTTTAGTTTGTTGATGGCTTATTGGACGTACAAAATGATAGTATACTTGAAATAAAAATAATTCTGAAATCATGACGTTAAAGTGATTATAAATCACTTTCTGCCTGATCTAAAAATTTAAGAACAACACAACCTCTAGTTTAATTGGCTATAGTACATATTTGTGGTTTTTCTAATAGCAGATGTAAGGTAACTGACCTGTTCCAGCCAACCATTATGCTTTTTGTTCTGCCAGCTTTTGAAGGAGCATCACAACTGACCATAAGTAAATCTTGTATGCTTCTGTTTACACTGTCTCCATGTTCATTGCTTTACCTTTTTGCTTTTGATTGTTCTTGTATTTGCTTTCTAAACCTGAACTAAAACATGCACAGACTGGCCATTCTTGTCTTATATTTAGTATTTACTGTGACTTGTCTATAAATGCTAAACATGCTATACTGAGTTTTTTTTGTTGTTGTTGTTCTGTTTTGTTTTCCATTTGAAAATCCACCTGTGAAAATTAGCAATCATTGAGTTATTTTCCTAATTTTATCTGGCCTAATAGGAACGAGAGAGAAGGCGACAGCATATGATGCTTATGAAAGCTATGGAAGCTCGTAAGAAAGCAGAAGTAAGTATATGTTTCTAGAAAAATAGTACTTTGTTATAAATTAGTGTTTTTTTCCCAAAAGCATTGGCTCTTCTAAATATAAATTTTTCAGAGTATGGGTTTGCCATGATTAACTGGTTTTCATAAGCAAACCAAAGATTAGGGATAATAACTAAGTGTTAGAACATTAAAAGAGTGCAAAGAAGATTCCAATGTATGTGTTAATGTTTTGTACTGAGATTTTAAGTATCTTTTTTTAATGTAGAGAATGGCATTCATTCAGATAAAAGTAGCTATTTTTTACTGTAATCAGTTTCACAAAATTAATATTACGGCATGCCTAGACAAGTTCTGTGTGTCCTAATTCAAACACTAGTCATTCCAACTATGGACTTCTGCTCTCCAAATTATTGTTAACATCCTACGGGTAAAATTAAAATAGACTTTTTTTTAAACAGATACTTCAGAATAAGAAAACTATTAAAATAAGTCAAAATGAGCTTATTTTGAATTTAATAGAAATCAGTTAAAGGTTATAATATATGTTACAAAGGAATACATTCTGCATTTAAACAGTTGGACATTATAAGTAGAGCTTTGGAGTGTGAGGGACTCAGATTCCCATCCTGGTTCTGAAATAACTGGCTTTACCTTTTCAGGCTTTCCTTTCCTTTCTTTCTTTCTCCCTTTTTCCCTTCCTTCCTTCCTTCCTCTCTCTCTTTCCTTCTTTTTTTCTTTTTAAATATGTTTTTATTGATTTCAGAAAGGAATGAAGAGGGGGAGAGAGAAAGAAACATCAACGATGAGAGAGAATCATTGATCGGCTGCCTCATGCACAGCCCATACTAGGAATCAAACCCTCAACCTGGGTATGTGCCCTGACTGAGAATCAAACCATGACCTCAGCCACTGAGCCAAATCATCCAGGCCAGGCTATTTCTTTTTTAAAATTGAGATGATGATAGCTGCTTCCTAGGATTGTAAGATTATCAAGTGCTATAAGCATTAGCAAGTTAGAATTAATGGGGTCTTCCTTTCAAGATGGTGGCATAGTTAAACGCAATACTCCCATCTTCCCACAACCACATCAAAATTATAACTGAACTGCAGAGTGACCATCATTCAGAACTGTGTGAAATCTGGCAAGTGGACTTCCTACAACTAAAAATATAAAGAAGCCACATTGGTACTGCTTAGAGGGGCAGAGATGCTAAATGGGCTGGTCCCACCTACATGTGGCAGATAAAAATCAGGAGGCATATCTCAGCTGCAGAGGTCACCACTGATAAGCAAGAGATCCCAGCACCACACCCAGCCCCGGCCCAGGGTTCTAGTGCAGGGAAGAGAAGTCCCTATAACTTCTGGCTGTAAAAAGCAGGGTTAGTGGCTCAATGAGACAGAGGGTTTCTGGAGTCCTGGGTATTCCTCTTAAAGGGCCTGCAGACACTTATTCTGAGATTCAGCACTGGGGCAGAGCTCGGCAGGCTTCAGGGACTTATGGGAGGAACTGAACTTTCTGGCATCAGGGCAAGAGCTGGAGGGGCAGCCTCTCTCAGACAGAGTGCTGGAAAAGCCCATTGTCCTTTTCTGAGCTCTTCCCCTACAGAGCCAATAGGCAGGAGCCATATTTGAGTCTCCATCAATCTGGAGCTGCCCTGGTGATTGCCTGAGACCCCACCCCACCAACTTGAAGGCCCATCCAAGCTGTTTCTAGTGGCATTTCCATATGAATGGCCTGTCTTGGCTCATACTTCAGATTTTCCTGAAGTCTGTTAAACAAGTAGCATCTGGCCTTGGCATGCCCTTGCTCCATACCTGTTGCTTAGTAGCCCCAGACCTTGTTTTGGGGCTAATGGCAGCCGGCCTTGTTTTGCAGTTGGGCACCTCCAAGCCCAACATGAGTAGCAGCCATCTACAGATCTCTCTGTAGCTCATGCCAGTGGTCCATGGCAGAACATGAGCAACTGACTTTGGCCTGCACTTCCTGGGAGCCCTTAGAGCCAGTACACCTGGTGGATAGCTTCAACCTCCTCCACAATGGACCCACTCAAAAGATGGCTCAGTGGTCACCAGAGCCCCACTGAAGCAAGTCTTGCTTCATGGCATGGGGCCCTGCACAGCTGATCCTCCATTGTGGTCATAGCTAATCCTGCAGCCTATAGGCCTAGGAGTAAATCCCTCCCATTGACTTGCCAACAACAATCACGGCTCAACTACAACAGGAGGGTGTACACAGCCCACAAGGGGGACACACCTGGAGTGCCCAGCTGGGGTGATTGGGGAGGCTATGCCACTGGCCCCTACAGGACGCCTACTACATTAGGCTACTCTACCAAGCCTGGGAGATGTAGCATGCCATTGGTATGGAAAAGCCACTGGAAACAACTTGGGTGGCTCTGAAATTTGGGTGGGGTGGGGTCTCAGGGAATCACCAGGATAGGGAAAACAGTGTGGGCCAGGTTGATGGAGTCTCAGAAATCGTGCCCGCCTGCCAGCTCTGTGAGGTGAGGGCTCATCAATGGTCTCTGTCAGCACTTCTGTCTGGGAGAAAACTGCCCCCTCAGCTCTTGCCTCAATGCCAGACAATTCAGTGCCTCCCAGTCTGCCTCCTACCAATTTTATTTTGGCCTTCATTCCTCTACACCCCCATGCCCAGTTTTCTAGATGTAGAAATTCTTGAAGTAAATATAGATTCTTGGAATATAAGTCATTTATAATAAACAACTTTTTATCATCTTAATCATAATTACGTAATTCTCTGTACCAAAATATTACTAATGTCTTAGTTAAGAAGTCATTTAAATTTCAGAGTTGAAACACTGATAGCAAATGTATTAAGTTTAGAATATCCTAAACAGCCCTAAATATATAGGGTAAACATTTTGGAATCAGTTTTTTACTCACATAAAAATATTATTTGGGACTCTGAAAGCATAAATGAAAGTATTTCTAGAAGTCTATAGCATAATAACAAATAGATGAAATAACATTTACTCTGTGTTAGAATTATAGAAGTTTAAAACCCGAACAATGAATGTGGTAGAATGACTTGTTATTTTACAACTTATCAGATTGCAAAACAGGCCATTTCTAAGAGACCATGTTGCAAAGATGCCTATGTCTTTTGCATTTTACGATTCTCCTGGGTCTCTTAGGTGTTTATTCCGGGCATAATAAGGAGAATACATTTCTTTTGACAGCAACTTGTACTTAAAATTTCAAACACATAAATATAATTTAAGAGATACAGGTTTACCTCAGGGTCCTGGAAGAATAAAAGTGTAAATAAGATTGCTAATAAAACCCATTTACAGAAGGCAAATATAAAGAATACAAATGATATCCTTTTATGGTCACATATTGAGTATGAGTAGATCAGGGCAGTTTTTCTTTAAAAAGAGCCTATTTTTATATCTAAAATAGTATATTATGAAAATTAAGTTTAAACAAATGAAAAAGTTATGAATCATATGATTCATAAATATATTTTGTTTTATTTATATTATAAATTGTTTTATTTATATTATAATTTATAGTTATATAATAATATTTTAAAATAATAAAACCTACCAATTATCATCACATTTTTTTTAATATACACCAAAGTATTACACAAAGTCTGTACTTATTTTGTTTAAACATCTTTAAATACTGGTAGAATAGTTACTTTCGTACAAATGTCTCCTAAATTAAAATTAAAATTGTCGTAATTCTTGAGTAAGATAATTATACTTAAATTGTTAACAGTTCTTTCAAAAACCTACTTTCTTATATACCATTTAACTTTTTATTGTATACTTCATATAAAATATTTTTACATTTGTTTTTTAAAAATATACAAGTAAAAGTACAATATACAAGTATGTCATATAAGTACATTTACTATGTTTTTAACTGAAAAAATGTGTTTACTAAAATAAAACTGTCTACATGTGCAATTGTACTTTATATTTTGATTTTCCCTGAGTAATGATTAGTATAAATATTGGATTATAAAGTATTCTCATGATTGAATCATTGTGGAGGGAGGTGTTACATATTTTTGCTTTCAAATTGTTTATTTCATGACTTCTAAAACTTCAACTACTCTCTTCTGTTTTATGGTTTTGTCTCCTAAAGTGCTGACACTCATCCTGTGATAGATGCATGTTTTAACAACCTTTTGTAGTTTATTGATCCTTGGGGAGACATACAGAAGACTCTGATACAATCACTATGGTTGTTTATTCAGTTAATATGTGTAAAGTGATTATAAATGTGTGACTGGTACAGTTTTAAGTTTTATAAAGGAAACAGGAGGTTTTGAGCTACTTGTCATGTTGTTTAAACCAACCTAAGTTTTTGGTTATTAGCAATAATAAAAACAGGTTGTTTTTTTTAATAATTTTATTGATTTTTTATAGAGAGGAAGGGAGAGGGATAGAGAGTTAGAAACATCGATGAGAGAGAAGCATCGATCAGCTGCCTCCTGCACACCTCCTACTGGGGATGTGCCCGCAACCAAGGTACATGCCCTTGACCGGAATCAAACCTGGGACCCTTCAGTCCCCAGGCCGACGCTCTATCCAGTGAGCCAAACCAGCTAGGGCAAAACAGGTTTATTTTATATAATTTGAATTATACTTGGAAGTAAACCTGTTTTATTTATGAGGCTAAAGATTATTCGTTCTCATATTATGTTATGGAAATATTTATAAACTTATGATATGCTAATGACATTTAAAATTAATACAATAGTTATAAGATTATTTTTTAAGATATACTTTAAAATTTTTTAAATTGCAATTTGTAGATTTTAATTTTAATCCTCAGTCAAGGAAATGCCCTTTGATTTTAGAGAGACGGGAGGGGAGTGTAGCAGAGGGAGAAAGAAACATCAATGTGAGAGAGAAACATCCATCAGTTAGTTGGCTGCCTTCTGGTACACTCTCTCACTGGGGATTAAACCCACAACTTTTTGGTGTATGGGACAATGTTCCAACCTACTGAGACACAGTGGCCAGGGTAAAGATAATTTACATGTCTAAATAGTCTTATTACTTGTGGATTTATATAAAGGAAAACTGTAGAAATTAGATTTCTAAATTAGAGAACCAATAAAATTTGGAATTATTTTTAGTGAAAAAGATATTGAGTTAATACTAAAAAAAAGAGAGATCAGTGTAATGTACACAAAGAAACATAGAAGCAGTGTTTGTATTATCTTTGATGGATATGGGGAAGTTTCTTAGAACAGTTTCACATGTTATAGGAGATCTTTAATTAACAAGGTGAAAGCAGATTATTTTTTTAATCTCATAATTCTTTAAGCATTTGTCCTATTTTTTTTATAATCTAATGATTAAATGTCTAAATGTATTAAGGTATAAAATCAAGGCTTACCCATTGGCCAATTCAGAATTTTTAGTTGGCTCTGCCTAAGTATCATATGGCCTTAACTTTAGAGTGAAGTTTGTCCTTGTAATAGTTGCCAACAGAATAATATATAGCTAGGGCTATTAGGAAATAATAGGAGGCAGAATATGAAACCAAGATATACCCATAATGGACATTACACTAGTTACATCTTGTGCATGTTAAGTAATAATGAGGAAATAGACAAGTACATACAGGAATGTTTTGCTAGTATTCACTTAGATGCAAGTTTATGTAAAAGATTTGGTGAAAGTTTGGATTGTCAGTAAGAACATATGTCTAGTTACTGCTTAAATATTTATACTGTAAAGTTTTCTCTCTCTGATATGATAAAAAGCATCAATATTCTTTTGTTTTTCCCACAGTATCTAATTTAATGCTGTACACACAACAGTAGTTTAAAAATTATTTTAAATACTTAGTTGATGACAGATCTGTAAGTTCCATTTAACAGAGGAACACAATTTAAATTGAGAGAGTAACTGGTAAAATTATCTAATCCTATTCACAAGTCTATAGTTACCAGGCATAACAAGTTCTTGAGAATTAAATTTTACTTATGGTATTTTCTCAAACATTCTGATAAAAGATTATTTACGATATATGTTGTTATAGTGTGTTTTTGCAGTTCCTTGAAAGTTAAACTTTAAAGAAAAACACCTAGAGTAAAATAAAATATTTTCTTTTTTTCTTCTTCATTTTATTTTATTCTATTCTACTCTACTCTACTCTACTCTATTCTATTCTATTCTATTCTATTCTATTCTATTCTATTCTAATTGTCTCCCCTATACCTCTTCCACCTCCACCCACCAACCTCCCCCCTGCAATCACCACACGTTTTCTGTGTCTATGAGTTCTTTCTCTTTTTTGCTCATAAAAGAGAATTATATACAGAAAACATAATGATGTGCTCATTCTTTAATGACTTTGTTTATCCTCACATTGTTTTCTTAGCACTTTTAGCTGCCACTTTCAATTTAAGTTATTCATTCAACTAAATTTTTCTTATCACCCACTATATACTTGGCTCTAATCAAGGCACTGGCAATATAAAGGTAAAAAAGGTAGACAAGATTCCTGTCCTCATAGATCTTACTATGTGGGTAGAGAAAGACCATAAACAAGTATAAAATAAATGAGATGATAAAATGGAGTGCCAGTGGGGCATAAAAAAAGGCAAAATTAGTTGTTCTGGGAAGGCCTCTTTGACAAGTTAACATTTGATCTATCAATGAACAACAAATAAGAAACACAAAGACCATTTGTTTAGAAATAATAAAAAGACAAAAATGACTGGAATATAGTACATAAGGGATAAATTATATAAGTTGAAGTTGCCATGGTAGACAGAAATCAGAGCATATGGGACTATAGTGTGGGAGTAAGGACTTTGGACTTTATTATGATTGCAATGAGAAGCCATTGGATAGTGTTAAGATGTAATCTGGTTTACTTTCTGAAATGATGACTCTGGGTATTCTGTGGAGAATGCACAGGAGTGCTGAGGAAAGCAAAAATGAAAGCAGGGAGCCAGCTTCTTTAGGTTATTTTGCTTTACGTTATTTCTTTATGTAATATTTATGTTTTATGTTTCATATTTTGGTATGGTTGCCTGACATTTCTTTTCTAATACTTATACCCTGTGTGGCAGCCCTATCAAGAACTTGTATTGCTCCAATATAGGCAGGTTAATTTTCATTTAATTCCTTCTTTCTTTATCTAATACTTCTTTTTATACTTCTAAGTATTTCAGATTCAAGGTTGTGTGTGTTTTTCTGAGGACAGAGGTAGCTAGGAAAGGGAGAGCTGTACCTGGTTTCTCATATCTCTTTCCAAGTTTTATTGTAAATATTGTACCTGGTTCACTCTTATCTAGTCAAGAGGGGGGTAGGGCACACCTGAAATGCCCAGCTCAGCTGACAGGGAGGCAATGCCATTGGACACTATAAGGCATCTATTACATTAGGCCCCTGTACCAAGCCCTGGAAACTTAGCAGCTCTACTTAATACATAGAAACAGGGAGGCTGCCAGGAGACAAAGAAACATGTCCCAAATGAAAGAACACAACAAGGCAACAGAAAAAAATAACTGAACAAAATGGTGACACCCAATCTACTAGATGCAAAGTTCAAAACACTGGTTATAAGGATGCTCAATGAACTTAGGGGAAGATTAGATGAACTTAGTAAGAACTTCAACAGCATAAAAAAAAAAGGACATGGCAACCATAAAAAAAAACAGTCAGAAATGAAGTTTACACTAACTGAAATAAAGAGTAATTTACAGTAATGTAGATGAAGCCAAGAATCAAATTTATAAATATCTAATTCCTAAATATTGCCTTAATATTATTATTAAATGTATAGAACGCCATTTTTTGATGCAAAGTTTGTGTATAACTGAAAATGGAAGACATCCATTATGTTTGTCCCACCCAAGTGTCTGCACGAATGAGTAACCCAGAAATTTAGAGGCAGTATAAAATTGCACATTTTAACCTGAGCATATTGTAGAAAAAGGCTCTCATTACCTGGCCCTGGCTCTGTATCATAATATTCAGCAACTGTTCAATCTGCAGCCCACGCTGCAGTCTTGAAACTGGGAGCAAATTCTCAAACACACTGTGTTTTCTCAGCCCTCTGCCCGAAATATTCTCTCTGCTCCTCTCTGAGTTCCCCTTAATGTGGCTTCCCCAGCAGTCAGTGTGCTCTTTCCAGTGGTCGAAATGGCGTTAAGATATGGACAAAAATGCTAATACAGTACAGGAAGCAATGAAAATTTTTAAATGTTAAAAACAATAAGACATTAACATTATAGGGGAGAATTATGAGAATTAAGAAGAAATTGGTAATAGGAATGAGGTGGTAGAGTTTAATTAAGGTTTATGTATGCAAGATGGGAATAATGACCTTTCTGATTGGAGTGCACTAGTATACGGAGGCAAGGGGACAAGAGGTGTTCATCAGGAATAGCAAACAGTTTCATGAAATTGACAGACTATAAAAGATAATTTCGAAAAGAATAGAGTCGTGAATTCCAAAGTAAGGAGTTGGACTTTATTTTGATAAACATAAAGAAAATGGAAAGATTTTTAAATCAAGAAGAGACATTATCAGCCTTATGAATATAAGCTCATCATTAGTATGTCAGATGTGTGAGGTAGGTTAGAATTGCCTAATGATTCTTCTGTTAATTGCCTGATGATTCTCCTCTAAATACAAATAGTATTTGAGGTGTGACAATAAAGGAATGACACAGATATTATTATATTAACTCTCTTGACTTTTCCCCATAAAATGTCATCTCTGCAACAAGGGAGAAAGGATGATTATTTCTATGTTGTTGCCATTACCTAAAACATTTTTTGAAAGTTTTTAGAATTGCCTTCAGAACCCATTTTGCATTCTCAGTGTGTTGTTTATAGTGGAAAATAACATTTTATTTCATCACAGGTGCTATCTTAAAACTAGCTAGTTCACTTTGAAAGAACTGCTTTTGCAAATTCAAACATGTTGCTTCCACTTTCCTGCTGTAAATCCTCCTTGCTTCCTGGAGCTACACAGAAATTTGTGTGAATGCTAGTTAACTTTATGCTATAAATTTTTAGTTGCCCATGTATATTTTATATATCTGTGTTTATTAATAAGTAATTTATTCTCATAGTATAACCTAAGAAAAGATTGAATAAATTTTGCATAATGGAGTAATCTGGGTTGAATCTAGTATTTATATTTTATATTTATACAGTCACATGGTTATTTTGGAATTCAGTGGGTGAGTACACTGAAAAACAATGTAATTGTTTCTGTGCATTTCCAAGTCTATTCCTAAGTCTCCTAAGAAGATTCCGTTCATGGGAATAATAACTTTGATCACTTTTTAAATTTTAACTAGAGGTTTTCGAACACATACAATGATTAAAGAGAATATATGGACATGGTTTTCTTTTTAAGGAAAAAGAACGGTTGAAGCAAGAAAAACGTGATGAGAAAAGATTAAATAAAGAGCGTAAACTAGAGCAACGAAGATTAGAATTAGAGATTGCAAAGGAACTAAAGAAACCTAATGAAGACATGTGCTTAGCAGATCAAAAGGTAATTTATTTATATGTAAACCATTTTATTAATAAATTTAATTTTTCCCGTGTTCTTACCATATTTATATATAATTTGTTTGTTTGTTTATTTATTTATTTATTTTAATTGATCTCAGAGAGGAAGGGGAGGGAGAGAGAGATAGAAACATCAATGATGAGAATCATTGATTGGCTGCCTTCTGCACACACCCTACTGGGAACTGAGTCTACAACCCCAGGCATGTGTCCTGACCAGGAATCAAACTGTGACCACCTGGTTCATAGGTCAATGCTCAACTACTGAGCCTTTCGTTTTTAACTAGAGCCGTGGGATTCCAAGTGTAAGTCAATCTGCCTCTCCTGGATGAGCACCAGTAAACCTCTCTGGAGCTGTGTGCTGATTATGGCAGTTCTTAATGTATAAGTAAAGTACTGCAAACCTTTTTAATTTAAGTAGAAATGCTGCAGAAATCTACAAAGAGGGATTGTAAGAGGTGATAGGATTTCTGTGTTTCTATTTGGTATTCAGGCATTCAGGTAAGAAAGATCTAACTTCTCCCCACATCCCGTAGATCCTTAAATTAGGATTTATAATCTACTAGAGGCCTGGTGCACGGACTCATGCACATTGAAAGGAAATTAATTAGAAGGTGGCCGGTGGGGCGGGACTAGGCGAGATGGGCTGGACACACCCTGGAGCCAACCTCCCCGCGGTCCTTCCCTGGCTGGCCGCAGCTGGGGCGGCGCCAGGGCTCAAAGGGTGTCTGCGGAGTGAGCAGGGGTCCCTCTAGCAGGTGGGGTCCCTCAGCCTGGCCTGCAGGGATCGGGCCGAAACTGGCAGTCCAACATCCCCTGAGGTGTCCTGGAGTGCAAGAGGGCACTCTGAAAAGTTGTGTCGCTTGGCAGCTCCTGCGTTGAGCTGGTGGTTAGTGCGCGTTATACCTACCGGCCGGTCAGCCAGTTGGCCGGTCGCTTAGCCTTTTATATATATAGATAACTTCCTTCAATGCTTTAGTTATGATAGCTAACTTATAGTGAGTATGTTTACTACATGCTGGGCACTGTGCTAAGTGCTTTATATGAATTCACACCACAATCCTATGGAGCTGCTATTTATGCCCATTTATAGATGAGAAAAGTTAGATTCAGAGAGGTTAAGGAACTTTCCCAAGATTACACAGCTAATAGATGGCAACTTGAATTCAAGCCCCAGTTTGTTCAGCTCCAGAGTCCATATTATTTATCATCTTGAAAGCCCAGAAAGACATCCAACCAAAGTACCTCATGTGTGTCTTCTCTCCCATCTTGTAATGTTGCTAAAGTACACAAAAGGAGAAATTTAGAAAGAGCAAAATAATCTAGGTTACTGGCATGATTATGCACTTAAGAGTAGAAATCAATTATGTTTGACTACGGATAAAAAGATGGTATTTCTAGATAATTATATCAATACTGCATATCATCTCTTTTAACACTGTCTCAGTAATATATTATTACTAGAGACCCGATGCATGAAATTCATGCAAGGGGCTCAGCCCTTGCAGCCACCATGGCTTGCCTCAGCCCTTGCAGCTGCAGCGGCTTGCCTCAGCCCTCCCAGCCCCGGTGTCATCCAGAAGGACATCCAGAAGGTCGTTTGGCTGTCTGGTCTAATTAGCATATTACTCTTTTATTAGTATAGATATTTGATCAATAGCATCTATATTATATGCCATATTTATCTGGTATACAAATAATGATCGTCTCTTTTCTGAAATTCTTAAAGCAAATATTTAATAGTGGGTAATTTAACTTTATTAATATTCTATTTATTTACTTAGAATAAATAGTTTTAAATAAAAATGAAAGTAAACATACTAATTTTAGTCCATTGAATGTATAAAATTTCCTAAGCACAGAGTGAGTATATAGGTTTGTTAACACATTTAATAAGCTCAGAGTGAGCAATTGTTTTGATCCTAAGTGGGTTTTATTTTCTTGCACCTTTTTATTTAAATACATATGCACTATATCAAATATATAAGTCCAATTTAAACTTAACTTTATTAGCTTTGTTATATACATTTTTAGAACTATATAGATATGTGTATATCTGATATAGTTTAGGATAAAAGAAAACTCAGAATTGAATGGTCTTCAGATGGAATAAAAGATATGTATAGTATCAGTTCTGTGTTTTCACACAATATTAGTAGAAAAAATCTTTAGATAGTTATTTAAGTACGTGCAGGGCGGAGGAACACTTTTGAACAAGCACCAATGTAGATAAATAGAAACACAAGTCACTTTTTTCCCCAATCAAATTTTAAAGTATTGTTATTATATCCAATTCATGGGCAAAAATGTTTTTAATTTAGACTACCTATACATTTTTAAATGTGCATGACGACTGGCACCATATTTAGTCATTAAAATGTTAATATGTGAGCATACTTGAGAAGTAGCAGAAGGGGCAGGTTTCCAATTTTGGTACTGAAACTCGATACAGTATTAATATTTCACTACATACAAGAAACCTAAAGACTTGGTTGCAGTATAAAGCAGTTCTTGATAGGGTCATGGGCTTTGGTCATGTGGACATAATAATTTATCACCACTTATTAGCCAAAGATGTTACCAGTCTTTCCACCCATACAACCCACAGATACACACTGTTCATGTGACTTTTAAATCAGTTGCCATCATTAGAATAGATCAATGCATGTGCCCTACTGAGTATGTCTTTGGTATTTTTGAAATATTTATTTTTTTACATTAAGTTTATTTAGGTGGCATGGGTTTCAGGTGTACAATTCTATAATACATCATAAATATATTGTATTGTATGTTTACCACCCCAATTCATCTCCTCCCAGCACCATTTATCTCCCCTATACCCTTTTTGACTTTTCTCTACCCTTCTCCCCCCCCCCTCTCTCTTTTTATGTTCATTCTCACCTAAGGATATTTTCCCATTGATTTTTTCTTTTAAGAGAGTGGAAGGGAGGGGGAGAGACAGAGAGAGAGAAACATAGATGTGAGAGAGACATGTTGATTGGTTGTCTCCCACACATGCCCCGGCCAGGGCCGGGTACGTGCCCTTGACCAGAATCAAACCTGGGACACTTCAGTCCTGGGGCCAAGGCTCTATCCACTGAGCCAAACTGGCTAGGGCCCCCCTCCCCTCTCTTAATCACCATGATGTTTCCTATGTATATGGAAATGTTCATTTCTTAATGTCTAAATTTTAATCCAGTTATATAACCCATGTTTTGTCAGTATGTAAGTTAATTAAAAATTCGTGTTCCCTTTTGCAGAGATCTAAATTTATATTGTATCCGGCCGAAATGTATTGATGGTTACTTGAATTCAGCATCCTAAGCTTAGTACCCTGGGGTTGCAGCAATGCACCCAGGGAACTTACAGTCCAGAGGGAAAACCACTGGAGCAATGCAAGAGAAAGAGAGATGGCACCTTACTTTATTTCAGAAGATAGCAAATCATGGCTTTTAAAATTTATTTTATTTTACTTTCTTTTCAGCCTTTGCCAGAGTTGCCTCGTATTCCAGGACTTGTTCTCTCTGGAAGTACATTTTCAGATTGTCTCATGGTGGTGCAGTTCTTACGAAACTTTGGTAAAGTTTTGGGCTTTGATGTGAATATTGATGTTCCAAACCTGAGTGTTCTTCAAGAGGGATTGCTAAATATAGGGGACAGCATGGGTGAAGTACAAGACTTGCTTGTGAGGCTCCTCTCAGCTGCTGTATGTGATCCAGGTCTAATTACGGGATACAAGGTAAAAAAATAAAACAAAATATAAAAGTGTTGTTTTTTTAAATTTGTACTATCAGTGCATTGATAGCTGCCTGTAGCATATTAGCAGATGATTGTATAGACTGATCCAGTTATTTTTTTACATATTGTTAAATGTAGATTTGATTGGTTTCCTAAAGCCTAAGAAATGGAGATCATTCCCAAATTACTCTTTTTTCCTCTAACTTTCCGCAAAAAACAAATTGACTTAAGGAAAGTGATATTCAGCAAAACAGAACGCATAATTCATAAAGCAATTAGGACTTATGTGCACCTACTGAAGTTATACTGTGTTTTCTCTCTGAATCACTGTGAGTAACTGAGGCTAATCAAGGCACCTACAGGCCAGCATGTTAAGACTCTGTACTGCTCAGTGGATGATACTCAAATTCAGTTATCTTAATTCCAATTAAGACACAAATTTCAGTCAGCTTTGCTATAGGTAATATTGTAGAGAGAGAAGCTTCCAGAGCCATCTGTTATATTTTCCTTCATGTCCCAATCACTAAGTATACCAGGCAATAAAACCCATGATTCCATAGAGCCAGCCAACATAATAATAGTGCTTTTGAACCTCCAATCCCTCCATCCCCTGAATATCTACATAAAGCCTGGAAAAGTTTGGAATAGTTTCTGTGGTCAAAGAAGGTGTGATAGGCAATTTCTACCCATGAGTTTATATACTCTTCTCCCCACCTGACTTTTAACCATGAGTTTAAAGGAGGAATAGAAATATTACAAGTACTTGAATCATTTCTTGCATATTTTTTTATCTTTACTTCATCAAAATATGAATAAAGCTGTTGTCATTAATGCCTATTATTTAGTACCAACGTTTAAAAATTATATTGTTTTATGTGATGAATGGTTATGACCAATACTGATAAAAATGTCAACATTTTATAGGCCAAAACAGCTCTCGGAGAACATTTGCTGAATGTTGGTGTGAATCGAGACAATGTTTCCGAGATTTTGCAGATTTTTATGGAAGCCCACTGTGGACAGACTGAGCTCACGGAGAGCCTGAAGACTAAAGCCTTCCAGGCTCACACACCAGCACAGAAAGCCTCAGCCCTGGCTTTCCTGATCAATGAGCTGGCGTGCAGCAAGAGTGTAGTGAGGTAAGCATGTGCCCAGGCTTTTCAGGTGATTCTGTGCTGTTTTGAATTTGTCTTATCACAAAGTAATGCAGGTTGCTTAGAGAAAATTTCAAAGTTATAGACTAGCACAAAGAAAAAAATTAAAATTACACTGAACCCCTCCCCCCATTCAGAGGTAACTAATAATAAATTTTAATGTATTCCTTTGTAGTCTATTGAAAAAATTTGTTCATTTAATAATTGTTATTTATATACTGAAATGCAAAAATATTCCCTTTTGCTGTGGTCCCAGAATCCAGCACTATTGGAAGAATCCAGGATTTTCATTTTCTTCACATCTTGTGATGCTAGATGACAAGATTTCTTAGCATCCATTCAGAGAATTATTTAGCTACTTATTTTATTATGATCTATGCATCCATAATAGTATTAGTTTATTGATGTATTAATTTGTACTTTAAAAAGTACTTAACTTCATCAAAGTAAGTCCTCCAGTCTAGTATTTCAAGATTTGGTGACCAAATCCATGTTAATCTTGTTCTTGCTATTCATTATTTTACAGATTTTAATTATGTTACTTTCAGTTCTTTACCTTTTTAGGAAAAGGATCAATCCAAATATTTCAGAGTCATGCATTTATATTATTGGTAGACATTTAAAGTTTCCTATACATCTCTTAGCTATGATACTGAATTAATGTAGTTTTTCACTTATGGTTATTTATTGGTAATCATTACAATTTGCTTGCCATATTAATGTATTACATAATGGATTATTTTATGTTTTATAATAAATTTTTGCATTGACAGTGAAATTGACAAGAACATTGATTATATGTCAAACCTGAGGAGAGATAAATGGATGGTAGAAGGTAAACTCCGCAAGTAAGTTATTTTTTATTAAAATTAATATACTTCTTTCCCTTTGTACAAGTTTCCCAGAAAAACATATGAATTGCAAAGATAGCATGTAAACTTTATTTTGTCTAAGAATTAGAAAAGGTAAAGCTTAAAATTATGATGAGTTATGAAATTAATAAAACTCAGAGCCAGAATTTGCAATGGACAAAAAACATAATCAGATTTATTGAGTTCAGATACTTCAAACTTAGAAGAAAGTCCATTTGTCTTTTTTTCTTTCAAAGAAGTCAAGCCATCACATTTTCTAAGGTTGTTGTTGCTATCAGGTTACTTTTGTCACAAATAGAATCTGTTTGGAGCTACCACCTTTTTCTTCATTGCTTTCTAGTTAAATTTCCTCTTATAGAGAGTCTAACATATCCAAATATATTCAGAATTGAGACTTAATTAGCTTCATTCCAGGAAATATGCTGAAATTATTCAACCTCTATGTTAAAAGGGTAGTTTTTTTGTGGTAATTTGAATTGAAATTTATTCAGTCTGATAGTATGGAATGGGGAATTGTCACTTGGCCATTGCTGGAGTTAGTCTTTTCAGCTTTCTAATTTTTATTTTTTAAAATGGGTCTAATTCCAAAGAAATACCTAGAATAATTCTTGAAAGTTAATATATTTTATAATTTCTGAAAACATATTTTTAAATTTCTTTAATTCTAATTTTTATTGATATTGATTTATTGCTCGCTGTGAGAAAAATACCATTAGATATTTTTGCTTAAAACTCACATTATGCTCTTTTAAACGTACAGAAAGAAGCCTTTTCTTTCATATCATCTTTTTTTTTAATATTAAAAGGCTCAGAATCATTCATGCTAAAAAAACAGGCAAAAGAGACACTGCAGGTGGGATTGATCTTGGAGAAGAACAGCATCCATTAGGGACACCCACTCCAGGAAGAAAGCGAAGAAGGAAGGGAGGAGACAGTGACTATGACGATGATGATGATGATGATAGTGATGACCAAGCCGATGAAGATGAGGAGGATGAAGAAGATAAAGAAGACAAAAAAGGAAAGAAGACCGATACCTGTGAAGATGAGGTAATCAAATTTAGTTGATTCTAATATTTAACTAAGACTGAATAACACTGAAAAATAACAGAATTTGGGGTCAAGTAGATTTGCATTTTAATTCCATTTTGACATTTATTTACCTCAGTTTCTTCACCTGAAAACTGAGTATTACAATATTCACCATAAAGTTTTTTTATGATGGGTAAGTAAATATTGAATAGAATGCCTGCAGATAGCAGGCACTTACATTGAATAAAAGAAGTTAAGTTTTTCTATTTATACAATGACTTCACAGTTCTTCAAAGAACTATGCTGATTATTAATTTTAGGTGCTCTCTTTTATTCTGTTGACATACTATCTTATATTTATACAATGTTTCGTGTCTTAAAAGTGTTGCAGATTTTGTGAAACTGGTATGTCTCAAACACCAGTTTATTATGCATTGCCTAGCTTTAGGCACTTTTGATTAAAGATGCATAAGGCACTAAAAGTCCCCTCTCAATTTACAGTCTCACTGAGAAAGATTTGCAGTATGAAACTGTAATGTGTTAACTACTTTGATAGCGATATTTACAGTGTGCTAGGCAGATACAAAGGAAAGGCATTTAACCTTTCTGAGGAATAAATCCTCTCAAAGGCTTTCTGGACCCATTAGCTGAGGCTACAAGCTGGGCTGAATGTTAACCTGGAAGGAATACAGGGAACAGTTTTCCAAGCAGAGAGAATAGCATGAGCAGGGCACAGAAGCCTGAAACTATAGTCCTTTAAGGGACTTACTTACAGGTGCTTCAGGGTTACTAAGGAGCCTCATATGCACCAACTATGAACTAGGACTTCTTAATTTTTGGTGACAGGAAGCTAATGGAGGGTTTTAAGTCAGTTTTGATTTTTAAGTGGCTCACGGTGTAGTTCTGTGGATGACAGAAATAGATTTGTGTAGGGCAAGATCAGAGATGAGAAGATCAGTCGATAGACATTACAATAGTTTAGTTGAGTTGTGAGGGGTCTGAAACTAGACCAATGGTAGTTGGGATGAAGGAGGAGAAAAGGACTCAATAAATATTTAGGAGGATGGATGAATAGTATTTGAGGATGGACAGTGTAGATTGAAGGAGAAGCAGGATTGATTCCCAACTATGTGGCATGGGTGACTGCATGCTATGATTGCCTTTAATTGAGAGAGAGAGAGAGAGAGAGAGAGAGAGAGAGAGAGAGAGAGAGAGAGAGATCAGGAGGAGCAGAGTAAATAGATGATTGGGGATGAGGGGAAGACAGGTCATTGAAGACAGGAAGTGATGGTAGGTTTATCTTAGACATGTTGAGTTTGAGATGCCTATGCAGAAGTTCAGCATCAGTTGGATTTAAGAACCTGAAGGTTGAAGAATCCAGTCTTGAAAATATAGTTCTGGAAGTTATTAGCACACAGACAATAGGTTAAAGTCATGAGGTGGATAAGTTTGCACAAGGGAATTGCTTTAGTGAATAGAGTAGTGGACTGAAGTTGGAACCCTAGGAACATCACTATTTAAGAAGAGCCCAAAAGGCTTACTGTTGAAAATGGGAGATTTCTATAGGGGGTCAGGGGTCCCAAGTCCACTTCCAGAGTTAGTGATTCACAGAACTCAGCATACAGAACTCAGCTTCTAGTCATGCTCTGGCTATGAATTATTATAGCAAAGGAAATAAAGCAAAACCAGCGGAGAGAAAAGGCATGTGAGTCAAAGTTCAGAAGAAGCCAGGCCTAAGCTGCCACAAGTCTTTTCCCAGTAAAATCACACAGCAGTTTTCCCAGGCATGACTTGTGACACATGTGATGTGTTGTGTACTGGTGTAGCTCATCAGAGGCTCAGTGCCCAGAGTTTTTTGCTGGGGACTGGCCACAAAGGTACCCTCCATGTAGCCTGTGCCAAAATTCCAGGCTCCCAGTAGGAAAGCAGTGTAAATCACATTATTAGCACAGTTTAGGTCTAGTAAGCCGATTTTATAAGTTAGGGTCAGGGAACCCTCAAATCCAAGTTCCCAGACACCAGCTAAGTGCCAACCTTGTAAGCAGGCCTTTCAAAGGGTAGTAGTCAGGTCTGCAGTGTTGACTTTTTTCTATACTTGTAGTAATAACAAAAATCAAGAAAATTGAACATTTAAAAAATGAGGGTGCAATAAACAGACAATAAGGCATCAGGAGATGTAAATTTTTGCTGGATTTGGCAACATACTGGGAGAGGTCAGCACAGTTTCATTAGAGGGGTGAGAGCAGAAGCCAGGCTAGGATTGATTGAGAACAATAACTAAAAAGTGAGAAAGCAAAGGCGAATATTTCAAGCATTGTGCCTCAGAGGAAAGGGTAGTTCCTAGAGCAGCGGTTCTCAACCTGTGGGTCGCGACCCCTTTGGGGGTCGAATGACCCTTTCACAGGGGTCGCCTAAGACCATCGGAAAACACATATATAATTACATATTGTGTTTGTGATTAATCACTATGCTTTAATTATGTTCAATTTGTAACAATGAAAATACATCCTGCATATCAGATATTTACATTACGATTCATAACAGTAGCAAAATTACAGTTATGAAGTAGCAACGAAAATAATTTTATGGTTGGGGGTCACCACAACATGAGGAACTGTATTAAAGGGTCGCGGCATTAGGAAGGTTGAGAACCACTGTCCTAGAGGGAGACAAAGACCAAGGATTTTTCAGATGTAGAAAGACTTGAGATGAATTTTAGTTGAAGGGAAAGAGTCAATAAAATGAAAGTGGGGTTAAAGATTAAAGATATGAAGAGAATAATTAATGGTATAAGGTCCCTAATGACATTGGAAGGTATCCTATATAATAAAAGGGTAATATGCAAATCGACTGAACTGCAGTACGACTGTTCGCTATGACCTGCACTGAGCAGGCAGGCAGGCGAGTGGTTAGGGCCAATCAGGCAGGCAGGCAGAGCGGTTAGGGGAGATCAGGCAGGCAGGCAGGCAGGTGAGCAGTTAGGGTTGATCAGGCAGGCGAGTGGTTAGGAGCCAGCGGTCCTGGATTGTGAGAGGGATGTCTGACTGCCCTTTAGGCCTTGAACATCCTCCAAAGGGTCCCAGATTGCGAGAGTGCACAGGCCCGGCTGAGGGACTCTCCCATCCCCCACATGAATTTTGTGCACCAGGCCTCTAGATCAATCATGGTGAAGGGGCTAGCTTTGAAGAGTAGGCTAAAGGGAAGAAGACAAGGCTATAGAGGTAGGTGTTTGTGTGTCTGTGTGAGTTTTAAGGGAAGTTACCATTAACCACAGAAAGGGACATGGGTAAAATAGAGAGATAAAAGCTTAAGTTCACCTTTTACCCTAAAAGAATTCTAGGACTACAGAATGATACTCAAAAAACTATACAGCCAACCATTCCTTCTGCACTCAATGCCAGGAGTATTCAACTAAGGAATTCTAGAAACAACTCCTGTGCTTTCTTGCATCAACTCAGTACTGTTATAAAGAAAGAAGGCCTAGAGGGATAACTTTATTGATAGAATATTTGAAAATATCTAACCAAGACCACTGATAAATTACTGAATCAAATTTTTTACTTAATCCAGATAATAATGTAGAGGTACTTATAAATAAGATCATGTGCTACTCACTTCTCTTAAGTAAAAATAGCATATATGTAAAATGTTTTCAGAAATTCCTCTCTAATGTTATATTTTAAACCAGAATGATAAAAATCACTTGAGTGAGCCTTACACAATCCGAAAAGGAGACCACATTGAGATTTTGTGCCAAAGTTATTTCATAATGTTGTACTTTTGAAACTACTTGATCATATAATTTTATGCTGTGGAAAATAATGTGAAGTGTATATAATTTGGGTATTAGAATTGTAATTACCCAAACAAAAGATGCCATTTATAACCAATCTACTTCATTTGGCAGGTGGAGTTGTTTCCATAGCAGGCATTAAACATTTCTGATCAGTATTAATCAGCTTTTCACAGAATTGGCATCCCTTTACAGCTCTTACTATTACAAATTATTTTAAAGTGTTGACTCATAAATTGACAAACCTGTATTGAGATTTCAGTGTATTTTACTAGGTAATTATCCCACTAAACTAGAATTCATTTACAGAAATTATCTGTTTTGCCTGGCTTCTTTTTTCCACATGGAGAATTAACAAACCATACATCTTTTTCTTTAAGGGAGATAAAGACTATTAAAAATTGTTATTAATTATTTAAAAATTATTAATTTTTCTTAGACCAGACATGTCACTTAATATAGTATTTTGGTTTTTTATTTTTAATTATAGAGTTCAATTGTAGGATTTCATTGATGACAATCTTAGCAAATCTATATATTGTTACTAATTTGAGAAAACAGTTTAAAAACTAAAAATTAACAAATATTTTAGGATCTAAAAAGCCAAATTAGCTCAGTTAAATGAATTGAGAGTTAATCTTTATAATGAAGAACCTTATTAACTTCCTAATAAAATAAAATTTTAGCCCTAGCCAGTTTTGCTCAGTGGATAGAACTTTAGCCCTTGGACTGAAGGGTTCTGGGTTCAGTTCTGGTCAAGGGCACATACTTTGGTTGCAGGCTCCATCCCCAGTCCCAGCCAATCAATGTGTCTCTCTCACATCAATGTTTCTCTCTCTCTCTGTCTTTCCCCCTCCCTTTGACTCTAAAAATTAATGGAAAAATATCCTTGGGTGAGGATTAACAAAACAAAAATAAAAGTTTAACTGTTTAATAAACTTGATTGATAAGATAGGCACATTATTCCTCCAAAAGTATGTTTGGCCTCTTGATTAAAGTATGGGTAGAGTGTTTGTTGTTATACTTCTTAAAAAACTAATTGCAGGTAAGCTTTCCACTGAGAGTCATGTGGTCCCTTTCAATTAAAAGATACTGCCCTTTGTCTCAAAGATGAGTCCCTCTTCTCCTCACTCTTTATTCCTTCAACACATGGACTCTTTCCCTTATACTTAGATTTGTGTTGAAAGCTATGTGAGGTTTAAGCTCACAAGTGGGCAAGTAAAAGTTTATGCAGACAATTAAATTCTAACACACTGGGGCATATAATGTTTGGGAAACAATGGAGAACCACAGCTAGAATTGATTCTGTGTTCTTTTTTTTTTTTTTAAATATATTTTATTGATTTTTTACAGAGAGGAAGGGAGAGAGATAGAGAGTCAGAAACATCGATGAGAGAGAAACACCGATCAGCCGCCTCCTGCATATCTCCTACTGGAGATGTGCCTGCAACCCAGGTACATGCCCTTGACCGGAATCGAACCTGGGACCTTCCAGTCCGCAGGCCGACGCTCTATCCACTGAGCCAAACCGGTTTCGGCTGATTCTGTGTTCTTAGTTTGTTGTTTTTCTCTCTGATCTTTCAAATTCCTTCATATCTCTTAAAATTGTAAGGACTGTTAGCCAAACTTCATTAAATAAAACTTTAGTAGACATTTTGCTTCTTTTGCATCATAGGAAGATTCTTAGAAATGGCAGTTAGTTAATTTGGCTGATACCTAGCAACGTCAATGTACTATTTCACATTATTTGTAGACTGACTTATATTTTTACATAAGCAAATTATTAAATATTTATCATTTAGAATCATATAGATATAAAAATATATATTTGAGATTCAAGGGTCATTGAGCTTATTATCTTTTCAGCTTTCTTTTAATCTCCAATAGATATTATGTTACTATTAGCACAAATAATATGCCTAAATGCCTTTGTAACTTGGCTCCCTAAATCTGGATAAGGAATGGGTAAGTGATAGGTAATGGTGATACTATTGAGGTTTTCCTTTCACTTCCTTTTGTTGAGGAGCTAATCCTATTGATTTAGAAATATCTGTTCATTATAAGTTGGTGGCTGTGTGGCTTTTGTAAAATGCTTATAGAAATGAACATCAAAAACAAGTTTTTATTTTTTTTAAACCTAAGAAGTTTCTGCATCTTCTCATTAAATCATAATTTTGAGAAAAAAATTTTACACATTATGTGTCAGCAACTCTGCTTATTGATTTCAGATCTGTTCTTATTAATCCTCACAAAAATACCATGTTACAGATAATGTTATCACCAATTTACAGTTAAAGAAACAGTCTTAGAAGAGTCACATAATTTGTCTATATGAAATAATGCAGCTTAAATCCAAAGAAGCACATATACCTCTGTTCGTGCTTTTCCTCTAAAACATATAATTTGGTGGTAGCTTTCCTGTATTCATATTCTAGAATGAAAATTTCATTAAATCACATGTAAACTTTCCATTTATTAAATCAGTACTATATATAGTAGGGATTATTTTTTCTTTTAAAAGTTCAATGTGTTGATAATATAACTTAACCTTTGCTCTAAAAATGACTTAGTTTATGGTATCAGTATTTTTGCAGCCTCACAGATTTAAACCCTTAGCATCATACTTTACTCCTTCCTTCATCTCCCTCACCCCTCTCTGCTTCATATCCATCAGTTGCCAGGACTTAACAGTTCTAATTATGTAATATCTCTTACATCTGTTTTCTTTATTTCTTTTTCCTTAGTAAGGCCCACATCCTCTTTAGTCATTGCAGCATTCTACTAACTAGACTTGCCAATTCTAGTCCTTTCCCGCTCCAGGCCATCTTACAACTATTACCATATTAATCTTTGAAAAGCATAGTTCTGGTGTTCAGCATCCCTCAAAGGATCAGATCATTGTTCATTGCCAGGCATTTACAGCACTAGACAATTCACTCCTAAACTCATCTTTGCCATATCTCCCACCTTACCTTTCCATGTACCTTTCATGTCAAGATATGTCAAACTTTTTCTGGTATGCCCTGCCGACTTTTCTCTGATTGATTATTCCTAACCATTCCTCAGTAGCTAATTAAAACACAACTTCCACATAGCCTCTTTTGGTATAGATTCCCAGTAAAAGTTGTCTCACCCTCCCTTGAACTTTGATTCCTAATCTCTACCTCTCTAAGGTTCTTATAGCTTCCTAATGGTGGGTGTTTTTTCCTTTTAGTGTAATGTTTTATGTCTCTCACCAGATTATTAGTTTATGGAAAGCAATAACTGATTCCTATTCATTCCCATAGCACCTATCCTATTACTTTGCAATAGGAGGCTTTCATTAAATATTTGCTGATTGACTAAGTAAATCTTAAGAACAGGTAAATGATACTGTATTTTGTTATGTATAGGATGAAGGTGACCAAGCAGCAAGTGTTGAAGAGCTAGAAAAACAGATTGAAAAACTGAGTAAAGTAAGTACTTTTAGATTATAGTTTTTATCTTTTTTGCAGTGTTTTAAAAAAAATCTGCCTTGTATGAGATTAGTTTTCTGGCTGCTAACAAACTTTTTATAAGTAATTAAAATGAGGAGGTCTAGAAACATTCTCAGCTAAACCTTAAAAGTTAAATGCCCAGGTTAAAAGCATGCTTCTTAAGATGCAGCACTAACCTTAATCAGGGTTTATATCCTTCATTTAAATACAGGATCTACAAATGCCTGGTTTTATTTCTTGGAATTAATTACTTTTAAAATTCAGTCAAATTTTATGATGATAGTTTCAGCATCTTATGTTTTATTTTATATTAATATATTTGAATTGAATTTATAAACTGTATATATTTTGTACTCTTATTAAAACTTGAATTTCAGTAGCATCAGTGAAGTTTTAGATCAACTTCTTGTAAAAAATGAGTTGTTTGCCCTGGCCGGCTTGGCTCAGTGGATGGAGTGTCGGCCTGCGGACTGGGGGGCCCCGGGTTCGATCCTGGCCAGGGGCACATGCCTGGGTTGCGGGCTCGATCCCCAGTGGGGGGTGTGCAGGAGGCAGCCGATCAGTGATTCTCTCTCATCATTGATGTTTCTATCTCTCTCTCCTCTCCCTTCCTCTCTGAAATCAATAAAGAAATATATTTTTTTAAAAAAATGAGTTGTTTTTTTAAAATATATTTCATTGATTTTTCACAGAGTGGAAGGGAGAGGGGTAGAGAGTTAGAAACATCGATGAGAGAGAATACTGGGGATGTGCCCACAACCAAGGTACATGCCCCTGACTGGAATGGAACCCGGGACCCTTCAGTCCGCAGGCCGACGCTCTATCCACTGAGCCAAACCGGTCAGGGCTAAAAAATGAGTTTTTGAAAATATTATGAGATACCTGTATATCATTGTTAACTTCATCACAAATTTATCTCAAAATTTTGTCATATGCTGCTTAGCTTTACAACATGAGTATAAAAATAGGCAAATACAGATATGGTTGGTTACATACATGAGTGTTAGTTGTTATACACTGTAATCAACAGAATTCAGCCAGTTTGCTTTGGCTCAATAAAATACTTGATAACATTATCATCAAGTATAACACATACTACTATAAGATATGTGATAAAATAAAACTTACCTTTTTAATCCGTGGCATCAAAGATATTCCAATTACCCTCAAAATAATATTGACCTTTATAAGTGTTACTGAAATTGAAGTCAGACAAGTAACATTTAGTTCTTTTGCTATCTTTTCCCAATAGTGTAATTTATCTGCTCTAAGGCATAATAAGTATGAAGTTACTTTTATATTAATTTTTGAAGCACTTAACACCCATAAGCTTAATTACATGCATCATTTTTTAACAGCAACAAAGTCAGTACAGAAGGAAGCTCTTTGACGCTTCTCACTCTTTACGCTCCATGATGTTTGGCCAGGATCGATACAGACGCCGGTACTGGATTCTTCCCCAGTGTGGGGGGATTTTTGTAGAAGGCATGGAGAGTGGTGAAGGTAGGAACGGTTAAATCTATTACAAAATAATAACACAAGAAATCAAAATAACGTAAGAAATCATTACGCCTTCGACATATTTTGTGCTTCCAGAATCCAATTTGTGTTGTGAATAAACGTTGTAAAACTTTTATTCATATTCCTTTTGAACTTGTAATGCCCCTTTTATTCACAAATATTCCTTCTCTGTTCATGATTTTTCTTATGCTGCTCTTTCTGACATCAAACATAAACTATTCTTTTTCTTATTTAGTGGACAAAGATGTTCACCTGTATTGTCCTTTATAGCTGCTGCCCATTTTTCTCCTTTCCCATTGTCAAATTTTCTTACTTGTGGTTTATTCTTTAACCTTTGCAGCAAGCATCCATCTGACAGTATCTCTGGAGGTAACTTGCCCACATCTAATCATAATCCTCATTCATCTTGAGACCTTGTTCATGTTTGAAATTTGTGATTACCTCCTTTTTCATTAAACTTCTCCACTTTTTAAATTGGTTTTAGAGAGAGAGGAAGGGAGAGGGAGGGAGAGAATCATCAATGTGAGAGAGAAAATCAATTGGTTGCCTCCAGTACACGCCCTCACCAATGAGGTATCATCTCACACTTGTCAGAATGGCAATCATCAGGAAGACAATGGAATACCAAGTGTTAGGAGGTTATGGAGAAAAGGGAACCCTTGTGCACTGTTAGTGAGAATGTAAACTGGTGCAGCCACTTTGAAAAACAATATGGAGTTAACTCAAAAAATAAAAAATTGAACTGCCTCATGACCTAGAGATTCCACTTCTGGGCATTTATCCCAAGTAATCCAAAACACTAATTTGAAAAGATATTTGCACCGTCATGTTCATTGTAGCATTATTTATAATAGACAAGTGTTTATCTATGGATGAATGGGTAAAGGAATTATTATACATATTGCACAATGGAATATTATTCAGCCATAAGAAAGAATGAAACTTGCCATTTGCAACAATGTGTATGGACCTCGAGGGCATTATGTTAAATAGAATAAATTGGAGAAAGACAAATAGCAAATGATCTGCCTTATATGTGGAATCTTTTTTAAAAAGCAAACTAACCACCCCCCAAAACAAAAAACAAACAAACAAAAAGTCATAGATAAGAGACTAGCTTGGTGGTTGCTGGGGAAGGGGCAACGATGGGTAAACTATTCTGGTTTTGTGTGTGTGTGTGTGTGTGTGTGTGTGTGTGTGTCTGTGTGTGTGTTTAGTTTAAATAAAACAATCTTATGCAGAACCCCAATATCTAACAAAAATAGCATTGTTCTTGTGGATGTATTTATAGAACTCCTAGCCTTTCCTGATATACCTCTATCCTATATACTTTCCAATCTCGGGTGGCCCTAGAGCAGGGGTGGGCAAACTTTTTGACTCGAGGGCCACAATGGGTTCTTAAACTGGACCGGAGGGCCGGAATAAAAGCATGGATGGAGTGTTTGTGTGAACTAATATAAATTCAAAGTAAACGTCATTACATAAAAGGGTACGGTCTTTTTTTTTTTTAGTTTTATTCATTTCAAGCGGGCCGTAGTTTGCCCACGGCTGCCCTAGAGGCACCTCTGAGAAATGTTAGGACTTCGCAAATCAGAGAGTGAGGTTCAGAGCCATCAAAGGTGTAAGCACAAAGTGCCTAAAGGGCTCAAAAACAGGGAAATGTCATATAGCCTACTCAGTATTTTATCATAATGCTTGGCATACATGGTCATCTCTACCACTAGCCTGTGAGCTCCTGAGGGCAGGGGAACTACATGAAAAGAATCCGGGAGCAAAGTAGATATTGGAATAGAGTAAAAAGGGATGGAGAAATGAGTTGTGAGACCATTCCAGTAGCCTAGGTAAAAGGAGGGAGGCCCTGAACTCAGGCACAAACAAGGAGAGTGGGAAGACAGATATCCTGAAGGTAGAATTGCTGTAAGAAATTATTGAACATGATGTAAGAAAAATAGCATCAGAGCAGGTTTGATGAATTAATCCTCAGTGGAAAAATTGTGATGTTTTAAACTGACTCAGAGGAATCAAGAGGAACAGTTTGTTTGGAATGAAATTAAAGTTTTAGTCTATGGGGGAAGTAGAATAACACTTAGAGGTAAAGAAAAAGGTTTTAGTGTAGAAATCTAATTTAAAATGGCCAAACTTTGAGTCACTTGAGGGTGGAGAGCCTTGGTAAAGCTTAAGAGCCAATAAAGCAATGTCCAGGTGAGTGGCGTTACCTTAGCTGTAATAAGAATCATTTGAAACGCTAACAATGGAACAAAATGAAACTAAGTTATACCCCAGACCAATGAAATATTCTTCAATTTGGCTAAGAGCCACATCATTGTCAGTCACCTGGACATGTAATGTCGAAGTTATCTAGGACATCAACTTTTCCTTCACAATGTCTGTAGTCAGTCTTTTTGCAACACTGTGAAATCAAGTTCTTTATCAATGTACCTGGATTATTGCAGCTGTCCTTGACTTCTTTCTATACAGTTCCCTCTTTCTATTATGTCTCTATTCTAAAACCTTGAATGACTCCCTCTCACCTGTAAGATGATGTAATAAATCTCTATGTAACCTAGTATACAAGGCCCACTGATAACGTGAGTGTACATCAAACATTTAGAACTCTTTGCAGAAAAGAGAATCAAAATGGCTCCTCTTGTAGGTGTAGCTAGCAAGTGTCATCTGGAAAGCAGGAGAATCTGGACATTTGTGTCCATGCATTCATCTGTAATATGAACAACAGGAACCTCCTAACCACCTGTTGTAATCATGACAGATATCAAAAAAGGAGATGAATATTGAGGGGCCCAGCATACGAAGTAGTCTTCATTTTTCCTCTTTAACTCCAGGATGCCAAGGAACTTTACTGAAGTGAAATGGTGTTGTTCAGTACCCTTACCTGAATTTATTCTTGCTTAGGAAATGCAGTCTCTTTCTCCTGCGAGTATGCAACACTGTTGCACTTCTAAATTGCAGAATGTAAATAGTGGTGCCCAATAATGCACTAGTGTAAAATGACAGTCTCATATGCATATAAGATTTCTGGAAGGATATGTAGACGTGATTGGTGAACCATGGCTACCTATAATGACTGAAATAAGGACTGAGGAAGTAGAGCAGAATGGGTCTAATTTACACCTCTCATTACCAAATATTTTACCTTGAATGTATGTTACTTTTCAAACTGAACAAAGTGGTGGATTTGTATTTTTAAAAGAGTTTGCATAAATTACTTTTAAAACATTGATCAAAAATATGAAACAGAAGTTGACAACAGAGAAATATCAATAAAAACTATAAAAAGATAGTCAGCCTTACTAATGATCAGAAAAAAATATAGTTTAGATTTTCACCTCTCAGGTATTGACAAAAACAGAAAATATGTCAACACCTGAGAGGTGAAAATCTAAACTGTATTTTTTTACAACATTACTGAACATTCCTGAACATTACATTATGTGTAGTGTTCAGTTTCATTGAGGGCGTAGGCAAACATGCTCTTATGTATGTATTTCTGGTATGAATGGGTGTTGATCTTGACACTGAGCAGGTGGACAATATATTGCAAAAACTCTGAAAAGTACAGATCTTAAGAATCAGTAAGGTTTTTTCTATAAATTTATCCTAAGTAAGTAAACCAGGAAAAAATTAAAAGTCCAAAAATACAGATACAAGATCCTTTATCATTCAAAGCATTACTTATATTAATGAATAACTGGGACCAACTAAGAGGCATCAGTAGATGATTTATTATTTAAATTACGATCTATTCTATTGAATACTCTGTAGCCATTAAAATTCATAGTATAGTTATATATTTATTGATACATCAGGATCTTTACAGAGTAAAACATGTATATTAAAATGTCATGCATATAATAGGAGTGCCTTTTTAAAATGTATAAGTTTAAGTATGTATGTGTGTGCATAGAGAAATGCTGGAAGGATATATACAAAAAAGTTAATAGTATTTTTTGCTATGTATTAGAGCTTTTAATATTTTTTATATTTTAATTTTTTGTTATAATTAATTATACAATTACATTAATGTTCCAATATTCAAAAAATCTAGTCTATAAAAAAGGAAAATTTAAAAAGTATTAAGTATCTAGAAAAGTTTGTTAAATATTTATATATATAACTTGATAAACTTTACTAAAATATAATTATAGTATTGTTTGATCTGGAATAACTGATATTCATAATACTTTTCAATTTTTATAGGACTAGAAGAAATTGCAAAGGAAAGAGAAAAACTGAAAAAGGCAGAGAGTATTCAGATCAAAGAAGAAATATTTGAGACTTCTGAGGACACATTAAATTGTTCAAATCCAGATCATTGTGAGCAAAAGGAAGACCCTAAAGAGAAAGACAACACAAACCTATTTCTTCAGAAACCTGGCTCTTTTTCAAAATTAAGCAAACTTTTAGAAGTAGCCAAGATGCCTCCTGAGTCAGATGTAACAACCCCCAAACCAAATAATAGTGCCAATGGGTGCACAGTGTCTTACCAAAACAGCGGGAAACACCCAGGAGGCAGCATTCAGTCAACAGCTACACAAAGCAGCTTGGAAAAGGCAGACTCTAATAGTCTGTTCAGTGCTGGTTCAGGAGGCCCAGGGAAGTTCTACAGCCCTCTCCCCAACGACCAGCTGTTAAAAACACTGACTGAGAAGAACAGACAGTGGTTTAGCCTTTTGCCCAGAACCCCTTGTGATGACACTTCGCTTACCCACGCCGATATGCCAGCTGCGTCTGCAGCGACTCCTCAGTCTCAGCCACCATCTAAGTCACCTTCACCTGCCCCAGCTCCTCTTCTTGGATCATCTTCTGCCCAGAATCCTGTTGGCCTAAATCCATTTGCTTTATCACCTCTTCAGGTTAGTACTGCTAAGTGTAACTCATTTTCATGTTGCTTTATTTGATCTTTGACCACATGAAGATTTTCCCTCAAGGGAAATCAGTTGAATATTTATATCCCTGCTATAATCTAAAAACTGAAGAGTGTCAGAATTGGTATCACCAAGCTTCATCAGAACTACTGATTTCTAGTCTAAGTCTAAGACAAAAGCGTCTTAATTACTTTATAATTATTACTATTACAGTCTATCATAAAGGAAAATACTTTGAGAGCAAATAAGAACATGGATTTTAACATTCTTATTATATTTAGTTTTCCTGTGATTGTGATAAGTGAAATAATATTTTTCAAAATTTTAAAAAAATTTCAGATTCCAAACATTTTTTCAAACTACTGAGATTGTTCTACTTTTAAATTATTTTGTTGTGTGTTTTTTGTTTTGTTTTTTTGCAGACAAAAAGTGGAGTATCTATGATGGGACTCCAATTTTGTGGGTGGCCCACTGGCATGCTTACTTCCAATATTCCATTTACATCACCTTTACCTAGTCTGGGATCAGGGTTGGCATTATCTGAAGGAAATGGTAATTCATTCTTGACTCCCAACATTGCTTCAAGTAAAAGTGAATCTCCAGTACCACAGAATGAAAAAGCCTCTTCAACTCAACCTGCAGCTGTTGAAGTAGCAAAACCAGTAGATTTTCCTAGTCCAAAACCTATTCCAGAAGGTAGGTACATTGAGATAGTAGGTACGTTGACTTTATCTCATTATAGATTTCTTATGTTATAGCTGAGTCTTTCTTTGATGATTTTATATATAGTTATAAATCTTTATATTTGCATTGTGCCATTAATTCACATTCAAAATATTTGTAAAAGATCTGCATATTTATCTTGACTCAGAAATGCAGTTTGGTTGGTGGAGAATTATTGACCCAGAAGACCTAAAAGCTTTGCTCAAAGTGCTCCATCTCAGAGGAATAAGGGAAAAGGCATTACAAAAACAAATTCAGAAGCACCTGGATTATATTACTCAAGCCTGCATCAAGAATAAGGATGGTACGTGCCTAAAAGAGATTTCCGCGATGTCTTGCTTAGTTTTGAGAATTGATTCTTTTTTCTTAAGCCACATTTTTGTATGTTTTGATTTTTAATTTATTACTAAATGGCATTTTTTCTATCTTGCTCAACAAACAGTAATTGCATTTATTAAATTGGTATTACTATCTTAACATTATTTCAACTTGCAGACATTATTTTGTTTCTTAAAAAAGAATATTCCTACCTTTAAGAGTAAAATGCATGCATATGCAGAGGTAGCATTCATATATTAAGTAGCATGTACATGTTGTCTCTGGAATTTATCATATTCTGGAAGAAAGCATTGAAGCATAAAGTGGATTTTAAAATAAATTTCTTTTCAAATGTAGTTGCTATTATTGAGTTAAATGAAAATGAAGAAAACCAGGTAACTCGAGATATTGTGGAGAACTGGTCAGTAGAAGAGCAAGCAATGGAAATGGATTTGAGTATTCTTCAGCAGGTAGAAGATCTAGAAAGGAGAGTTGCATCAGCAAGTTTGCAAGTGAAGGTAAAATTGACTTGGAATAAAATCTCTTTAGGATAACGGAAGGTAACTAATATTTACATATGCTTGATATGTGCCAGTTACTGTGCTAAATGTTTTCACTTTATCTCATTTAATTCTCAAAACAATCCTGAATAAATTTCCTCCACCCTACAGGTAAGAAACAAGGTGTAGTAAGTGGCTAAATGTGGATTCAGACTAAGTCTGTCTAACTCCAAAGCCCATGTTCTTTTTCTTAAAAAAAAAATTATTTTTATTGATTTCAGAGAGGAAGGGAGAGGGATAGAGAGAGTAGAAATATCAGTGATGAGAGAGATCATTGATCAGCTGCCTCCTGCACGCCCCCAGATCGAGCCGAAACCCAGGCATGTACCCTTGACTGGAATCAAACCCGGGACCCTTCAGTTCACAGGCTGACGCTCTATCCACTGAGCCAAACCAGCTAGGGCAAGCCCAGGTTCTTTTTACTAAATCTTGCTGCCTCCTTTATGGTATTAAAAAAATACCATTTCCAGTATGCAGTTGTTTACCACAAACAGAATACCACAGTTTTTCCCATGAATAGTGTAATACTCGATCAAACTCCTATTATAGTGTTGCATATAGAACCAGGAACCCCCTTGTATACAAGCCATGTTATATGTCACACTTTCATTCTATGTAATTTAAAACTGGAATATATGGTATAGCTACATCCAAATGTAGGTTGTATTACGATATACACACACCTTACATATATATGTCAACTTTTAATTAATTTATTTACCTAATGAGCATTACCAGGTCACAAAGCAATGCTCAGACTGGCTTTGAATGGACTTTATCTTTGTGCAAGAATTTTTAGCTTTGGAAAGAGAAGTGTGGAGGTTTTTCTTCTCAATTGATAATGTGGGGATGTCTCTAACAATAAATGGATTAATGATAAATAAGGGTGAAACAGACACCTGGAAAGGTTTAGAAAATGTAGTCACCATGTAATTTGATTTGGTGTATTTTCAAATGAGAGATATATGTCATAATACTTATTCTATCCAGTGATTAAAATTTTGCTTCCTAATTAATGCTGGCAGTTGGAAACTTTTGAGCATCTCCAAAAAAATGTCATTTTCCAGAGCAATAAAATATCCCTTTTTTGAAACAAACATAATTACTAACTTTGGGAAGCAAAAATCTATCATTTGCTGAAACTATTTTGCTAGGAAACTATAGGTATCCTCTTCGTGGTACTATAATCCAGTATAAAAATGCCTCATTTAGCTGGCATTTTCCACAAATGAACTCTTCCACACAAGTTAATTTTCTGGAGAAATAAAAATTATTCCACTTAGTGCCATAATTTTTAACATGTTTGTTGGATGGCTTATGTTATGCATTACACTGACTTCTTAAATTGAGAATAATGAGTTTGATTTAAATTATCATGGTGACACAGGACCATCAGTATAAAGAGCAATTAATAGATAATGATTCCCTCAGGAAATGCAAAGAGGTTTTGCCCCGAAATTAAATGATCCTAGTGTGCTTTGCTTTTTCAACTACTTCATCTGCTTTCTATAGTCGGTCTTTGTCCTCTCTCGAGGTTAGTTGTTGCTATGTGCTAGTTTTAATTTTATTGGTTCTCTCAACCTATTTTCCTGCAACATCCCCCCACCTAGTTTTTCAATTCAAATTGGCTATTGGTTGGGGAAGTATATCATCAAGCTCTTTGGGCCTGAAACAGTTTTCTGGAAACATCCTCAGTTTTTGGTGCATTGACCTTATCACGTTACTGGCTGCTTAAATGTTTTGGGACTGTGTTCTCAGTAGCTAAGATGAGTGGAATTTGTTTTTAAGTGGAGTGCTTTAACATCCTGTTAATAAGGCATTGCTGAATTATTCTAAGAAATTAATTATATTAGTCTTGAGTCTGAAAACACAGTGATGAAAATAACCACAAAACATTATTTTAACACCTATAAAGATTTAATCACTTTTTCTTTTTTAAAAGAAAAATAGAGTTATATGTTTAGCCTGGGAACTAGCTATTGTGAAGACACATTAAGCAGGTGGAACATTCATTTTTATGTTTAGTAAAGAAAATAGAAATTATTTTTTAAATAATATGGACATTTTTTATATTATAGGAAAATCTGCAAGTCTCTAATCCTAATTCTTTTGCTGAGTACATAAAAAGCCTAATTACTCTCCCAGCTGCTCCAAAGACAAATCCTGTGTCTCTTTTTAAGTTTCTCTTTTACAAGCTAATTAATTCTTTCAACTATGAGTCCTGTGAAATGGTTTCCAGGCCCATGGTTCTCTTGTGAATAAATGCCAGTGTCAATACCCTTTTTAAAATATCATGCCCATAATTGTACATAGAGATGTCTGAATGTGTTCACGAGACTTTCCTTAATCCAGCGCTATACTTCTCTTCAGGCTACTTGAATTCTCTACCTTTTTAGCATCCACATCATACATACCATTGCTTCACTGAGTATATGCTTAAAAAAAAAAATCCTTGAGCCTCTTTCAGAGTGCTTTTAAGTGAGTTCTATCATATGCAGTATTTCTGTGATTAATTGCTTAAACTGCAGAGCTTAAAATTTATATTTATCACTAGAATCCCAGTGCATGGATTCGTGCACATTGAAAAGAAATTAATTAGAAGGTGGCTGGTGGGGCGGGACTGGGAAAGACAGGCCAGACACACCCTGGAGCCAACCTCCTGTGGTTCCTCCCCATCCAGCTGCACCTGGGGCAGCACTGGGGCTCAAAGGCCGTCTGTGGAGTGAGCAGGGTCCCTCCAGCAGGTGGGTTCCCTCAGCCTGGCCTGCGGGAATCTGGCAGTTCGACATCGCCCGAGGGGTTCCAGAGTGCGAGAGGGCACTCTGCAAAGTTGCTGTCGCTCAGCAGCTCCTGCATTGAATGTCTGCCCCCGGTGGTCAGTGTGCATCATACCTACTAGCCAGTCAGCTGACAGGTCAATCACTTAGCCTTTTATCTATAACTAGAGGCCCGGTGCACGAATTTGTGCACAGGTGGGGTCTGGCTGGCCCGCCCCGATGGGGGCCCATCGGGCCAGACCGGTGGGGGTAGAGGGGCCACAGGTGATTGGTCGGCTGGCCCCACCCCCAATCAGGGTGTTGGGGGCCAATTGGGGGCTGGATCAGACTGGTTGGCTGCCGCAGTACACGTCATAGCCACCGGTCGTTCTGGTCATTCTGCCAGTCCAGTTGCTGGGCTTTTATATATATAGCTAATAAAAGGTAACATGCTAATTAGACCAGAAGTCCTTCTGGATGAAGCCAGGGCTGGAGAGAAGCCTAGGTCCCGGGTGCCTGCCGGTGGCCAGAGGGAAAGCACCCAGGTCCAGGTGCCGGATGAAGCCTATGCCAGCAGCTGGGGGAAAGAAGGCCTACTCTTGCACAAATATTCCTGCATCAGGCCTCTAGTATATATAGATTGTTCTATTTTTATTAATTTCATTTAGGTACCATTTTCAGCATATGAAACTTTTAATCTTAGTCCTTTCATAAAGAGTATTAACTTTCTTCGAAACTTTAAGTTACCTGGAGATTTAATAGCCATCAACCGAGTTATTCATAAGTGTATTGGCCAAATATAGAGCCTTTGGACAGTGGCAGTTATGTTACACATTACACTGCCTTCTTTATACTGTTTCTGAGGTGAAGAGCTTTACCAATCACCAGTTTTTGGATGTAGTGTCTTTTACCATCTAGACTTCTCTTACTCTAATATAGTCATCCCTTTTTTTTTTGTCTTATCACTTGCTTTATAGAAATCAAGATATACTGTATTTATAGGATTCCTTCCCTTGATTTACTTATTTCATATTTCTCTCAAAATATGGGAATGAGGTTCATGTGACATGACTTGTACCTAATGCCCTTATGTGTACTATTCAGAACGCCATCCTTACTTTCTAAATGTTCTACTGGGTTAAAGAGGAAGAATTAATCCCAATATAAAGATAAAATAATTATCTTAAATTTTTTAATAAAAAGGATAATGTTCATTCTGATTTTCCTTTAATATGCATTTAGTACATACCTATTCCACATCAGACAGTAGACACCACAGAATTTAAAATATATATATGGTTTCTGCCTTCAGAAAGATTGCCATGTAATAGGACATGTATACATCTCTGCAGAATCTGGTAACTGACTGCAGAGATATACAGAATCTCACATGAGTTTAGAAAAAGAATACACGGTTTCTGGTGGAGAAATGGAAAAGATCAGGCAGATTTCATGTAGGAGCCGAGATGGCACTTGAGAAGATGAGTAATCCTCTGACAGAGAACACGAATTCCAGGGTGGGATGAGATCAGCATGAGCAAAGCACCAGGATTGGCAAGCTCAGGACATGTCTGGAGTCACAAGGCATGGATTTGCCTGCAGGGTAGGATGCATGAATGGGAGCATGAGACAGAAAGGTAGATCAATGAACTGAATGTCATAGCAAAAGTTTGGATTTGTTAAACGGAATCCTTGAGGCTAGAGGATCAATATTAGCACGCTGAGCTGTAATAACTATTATATATATGCCTACTATTTGCCTTCACTGAGTTTTAGATAAAATGAGTATAAACAGAATGTTTCCTGCCTGCATGGGATTTAGAGGTAGGAAAATGCTAAATAAGCACAGTAGTATAAAATTGAACTGCCACCAGGCTATGGAGTATTATATGGTCCTATGAGAAGCCTGTATGGGGAGATTTACCCCCTACAGGAGCTCAAGGAAGGATTCCCTGAGGATGCTGGAAGTTGCAGGAAGAGTGGAGTTAACTAGGTGAGGAGGAACAGGGAAAGCTATAAAGACAAGCATAACAGCTATGCAAAGCTCCTGCAGCCAGAGGGAAATGGTGAGTACAAGGACCTGTATAAACGAGTGGTGCAGGAATGCAAGTGGAAAGGAAGAGCAAAGTTCAGAGACTGCTGAAGGGTTTCTGTGTACGTGGTCCTGTGAAATTATAAGCATTTAGTCTCCAGAATACTTTGCTGGTTTTCATTATACCTTTTGCATTATCTAAAGTTTTTTTATTTTTCTTACAAATGCTCATTTTAATGTTCTGTTCTTGTTTCTACCCACTACCATTAGGAAAGACAAGGTAAAAACTTAATAAAGATCCTTGAGATCTGCTGGTGTTTGTCGCTGAATTTTAAGTAAAGGTAATTCACCTCCTGGGCATTTTAAAAGAAAACCATAATAACGTTATTCTCTCGATATATAGGGTTGGATGTGTCCAGAGCCTGCATCAGAAAGGGAGGACTTGGTATATTTTGAACATAAGTCATTCTCTAAATTGTGCAAGGAGCATGATGGAGAATTTACTGGCGAAGAAGAAAGCAGTGCGCATGCACTAGAACGGAAGAGTGACAACCCCCTAGATATAGCTGTAACCAGGCTGGCTGATTTGGAGCGGAACATTGAAAGAAGGTATCTGAAGAGCCCCTTAAGTACCACCATTCAGATCAAAGTGGATAATGTGGGCACAGTTACTGTCCCTGCTCCTGCACCATCCATTAGTGGTGATGGTGACGGGTAGGTTATTGAGATTAACTTGAAAAATTATTGTGCTTCTTTGCTAATTGGAGCCTATTTTCTATTGCCTGTTATCTATGTATCTTCTTGTATGTCTGTGATCCATATGGATCATGCTATTTGATCCATATGGATCATGCTATTTGCATGGTGCTTTGTAAAAACTTTTTTTTTGTTATGTGCATTGATAATCCTGCAAAGTAATCTTACATTTTTACCTGGTTGTGACTAAGCTTTGAGGCACGTAGCCACAGTCTGTGCACTACATCAAATTTAGTTGCTTAAACCTTATACTTATTGGCTGTTCCATGTTTTTGTCATTGCTTGGCTTTCAGTGTGATGATTGTTTCACATTCAGTAACCATAAATGTGGACATGACCTACTTAATTTTTCTATATTTCAATGCAGAATTGAAGAGGATATTGCTCCAGGGCTCAGGGTATGGAGAAGGGCACTGTCAGACGCTCGCAGTGCTGCACAGGTAGCTCTGTGCGTTCAGCAGTTACAGAAATCAATAGCATGGGAAAAATCAATTATGAAAGTTGTAAGTGTTTTCATTTAAGAAATACTATAACTCATTTACTTTGTCCTATTTTTTCCAATCTTCAGATCTTTCTTAATTATATATTACTTATTGTCAAAATAATGTATGCTGTACTTGAGAGTTTGCTTATTCTTATTCTGCATAGTTTGACTCTTCCTTATTTTGAGCTTTCTGAAGGAACCTACCAAATGTATTCTTTTGATTTTGATTATCTCTCTGCTGAATGTTGTTTATAACTCTGGCTGAAGTTGTCTTCTATATTCTGTCAACATAATAGTTGTTAATCTAAATATTTGAAGATCCTTCCACTCTTGTAAACATTCCAGTTGGTAACATTACCTGCTACCTATATTCACTGCATTCCTAAAATGTCTTTATATTTCTATCAGTTTTCATTTTTTAATCCTAAGAAATACTTAGAGAAGTAAATATAAGCAGAGAAGTCTTCCTTCGTGCACTGATATGTATTTGGCCTCTGATATAGATGACTTGAAGAATAGATCTTTTTTTAAAATACATATATTTTTATTGATTTCAGAGAGGGAGAGAGGGAGAGAGAGATAGTGGCCTCTGTTTTGTACCAGGCACCAAATGCTATGTGTTCAAAATAAAAGCTATATTTCATATATTTTCCAGAAAGATATCATTTTAAATCATGTACATGTCCCTTTTGCCTTTTATATATCATATATAGAAATATCTATTATATGTAGATTTTTACTGATTACCTTATCATTTGCTTCTGAATGACAGGTTTCCTTTACAATTCAAATATATGAGATTTGGTGTCAAGAATGACTAAGTATTTACTTAAAATAATTATTTCCCAAAGAAAAGAAATGATCCTTAAATAATTTACCATTCTTCATTTTCACCTCTATACTTAGACTACTTAAGGCCTTATTCATTCTTTACAAATAAATTTGGTTTCTTCTGTGGTTTTCCACTTCTTCCTAAAATGTCCATGGAATAATAAATCTGTAGTTTTCACAATATTCTCAAATTTAGGTCTTTCCCAACCAGATTATAATTTACCATAAATTTTAATGCATTGTTCAGTTCATCTGCTATCATTTTTGCTAGGTAAAATTTTTTCTTCTTAAAATTAGCATTAAAATCAGTTTTAAAGTCATGTACTTAAATATATTTGGTGAAATCTAAGCTATAATTAATCGAAAAGATTGAATTGCTACATCAAAATGAATTTCGTATAGCTATTTTTCCAATCTGTTCCAAAACTGTCATCCTGATGTGGTCAGTTTTGTTATAACCTATACACAGAAACCGAAAACTTGTACCAAAATCTGCCTTTATGTTAGTATACTTACTTTCTGCTGTCTAAAGCTTTATTTCAGCTTTTGCAAATTCATAAACCTTTACCATATATTAACATACATTTATCATTATATAACTCCATCTCTAATAATCTTCATTTCTTTTTTAATGCTTAACAATACATTATTTGCTATGAAATTACCTTAAATTGAAGGCAGAATCTCATATTCAAAGATTAATGAGCACTTTGTAACCTTTAATTAGAAATGTAACAGTACCTATAATAATCTTCATAATAAGTCATAACAAAATGTATACCTTCTTTGCCAGAGACAAGGCTTACCAGAATGGAAGAAGCTATTGTAATTTATCTCCAGATAATCCTGCCCACAGTTATTGTTAATGTTAAACAAAAGGCAACGTCTACTCTATTTTACTTTAGGAGCAAAGGAGTTAAAACCAAATATTAATACACTTGTTCTAATATATTGTGAGCTATTACTGTGATTTTTTGAAAGTGTTAGGAGCTTAATATCTTCCACCCTTTCTTAATAATTGCCAGAAAAAAATTATTTTTAAATCATAAATGTGAGATGTGAAACAGACTTTATAGTATTTTTAGTTATCGTAGAAAATAGTGAGAATTTACTTAATGTTCATTAATCTGATTTTTAAATTTTAGTTATAGTAATTTAAATATAACCTTCCGAATGTTATTTCTCAATGAATATTTTTACAATAGAAGTTTTAAAAATGTAACTCAAACTTGGAAAAATAGCACCCTCTTTAGGTGTTAAACAATGTGGTATTAGGTAAGGTCATAAAATAAACACTGTTGCAGCATTAAAGTACTGCTTTTGCTCTTAGTATACATGCAATTTTAGTATTAGAAATATTACATATATAGGGTGTACCAAAAAAAATTGTATACACACTTTAACAGCCGATAGCTCAATTGATGTTTCTTTCTTTTCAGATTTAACCCATTGGAATTAATAATTATTCAAAGTGTGCATGCATTTTTTTGGGACACACTATATTTGATATTTGTTAAGTTGAATAATCTATGTCTGCCATTTTGATAAGACTCTTAAGCTGTCATTGATGTATATTTGAGTTATATAAGACTATTTTAGTCTTTCCCAAATTGATTAATTGTATTGAGAATAAAAAATGAGGTTTGGACAGTTAAGCTACTTTGTTTTTAAGAGTATACAAATACATAATTATACATCAGTATAAATGATTTACAGTTTAAATGTTTTCATTTTAAATATATTGGTTGCAGGACATTTTCTACTATGACGGGATATAAACTAAATGTCAAAATATAATGTTAGTACTTACATTTTTTAAAGTCGTCTTAAAAGTTTTACTTGTTTAACTTTCCTTCTTTTCTTTTGTGAAACTTGTTATACAGAATATGTATGCATGGGGGAAAGTCGTTTTATATATGTTAAAGTTCTTAATGGTATTAGAAACTTTTTTAACAGAAAAAGTAATTTATTTTTAGTTCTATAAAAAAACTCATGACCTCTTAAATTCTTTAATTTATTGTATGATTTTTTCCCCTAAGAAATCATTTTGTAGGATCCATTTTCTACATTTGTGACACATGTTTGATTTGGATTGATGTCCAAAGTTTCCTAGTTTGGACACATTTTTTAATCAATCATAAAAAAATAGATGGATACTTTAGTCGAAATATAAGAACCTATTTTTTATTATGTATATTATGTATAATTCTGATACTAATGCTAACCTAGTTTTGTTCTTAAAAATTAACTCTTATTTCTTTCTCAGGATATCATGAGGATGCTAAGATAAGCAAAAGATGAAATATATTAAAAAATTAAAACATCATGTATTAAAAGCTATTCATTGCTTTATGTGCTCTGATGTCATGTTAATTATTTCATATGTTAATGTGTACATGCTTCTGAAATGTGTGCAGGCACTCGACCTCTAGCTTTGTTCTTTGCAGTGTACCTGAAATGTGCATTTACCCCAATTGAACTGCTCACCCGTCATGTGGTCCATATCTGTGTAACGAGAGATACATAGATGTGTATGGCTACTATATATTTGTTAGCAAGCGGAATGTTCATTACTAATGTAAACTAGGAATGACGGTTTGTTTAATATCCCAGTAAGCATTATTCATAGCAGAGTGCTAATATCAAATGCTTTTCCATGTATTATAGTACTGTCAAATCTGTCGAAAGGGAGATAATGAAGAACTGCTGCTCCTTTGTGACGGCTGTGACAAAGGCTGTCACACCTACTGCCATAGACCCAAGATTACAACTATACCAGATGGGGACTGGTTTTGTCCAGCTTGCATTGCTAAGGTAAGACCAATGAAAATGAAACCTTTTTTTAAATTGAGGTAACATTGGTTAATAATGTTTTATAAGTTTCAAGTGTGTAACATTATGATTCAACTAGAGGCCCAGTGAACGAAAATAGTGCATGGGGTGGGGGGGTCCCTCAGCCCGGCCTGCACCCTCTCACAATCGGGGACCGCTCGGGGGATGTCTGACTGCCGGTTTAGAGGTTAGAAGAAAACCTTGTGAGAGAAAAAAAACAAAACAGAGGCCATTCCAGTGAGGAGCTAGGGTTAACTCTGCATGAAGATTTGCCAGGCCAGGGAAGAGGGGAGGAAGGAGTGTGTGTGTGTGTGTGTGTGTGTGTGTGAGAGAGAGAGAGAGAGAGAGAGAGAGAGAGAGAGAGAGAGAGAGAGAGACCCGCAAAGACTCCAGGCTCTTTTGTTCTAATGCACAAAACTTTGCTTTCCCCACGTTTATCGCATGTCTAAACACAAACCATCGTGTACTTCAAGCAACATGTGTTAGGGAAGGAGAAGGCAGCCTTAAAGCAAAGGGTGGGGGTGTCAGAAGTGAGTAACTCCTCTCGTCCCCGCAGCTGAACTCCTCGGGCGCCTGCCTCTGCGAATCCACATTTATCTCTTGGCGCGTGGGAGGTTAGGGAGCCTTCATTATTCTGGGAGGGGAAGGTCATGGGGACTGCACCCGTGGAACTCGCCCCAAGTTTCATTTCCTCACCCTCCTGGGTCACTTTCCAACCCACCACTGACCCAGTTAATGGGGTCAGAGGTCTGGGGGCCAGGTGGGCCAGCTCTGAGGTCCCTGTGTCCACGCCCCACCCACTCCAGCTTCCCGCCTGCGGGCAGCGGCTCGGGGTGTTCGTCCAGCTGCGCACCAGACTCAATCTGACTGGGTGCATGCAGAGATCGGGCGGCTCTGCGGCACACAGCTCCATGGCTAGCGCCTTTGAATTGCGCACCACTGGAGGGGGGCAGGCGGGGGGAGGGAAAGCCTCCCCAGAAAGAGGTTTTTCAAAAGCCTTATGGGACCCGGAGTTGGCCGGCCAGGGCCTTCCTTACTCCGGCTGCTGGCAGCCGGTCCCCCCCCCCCCCACACACACACACACACCCGCCTTGGCCTGGCACTGCCAGTGTCCACTGCCACCCACCCCTGGTTACCTGTTCCCTGTCAGGCGATCAGCACTTGCCAGCCAAGGGGAGGGACCAGGAGGTTGGCCATTCTTAGCTTCAGGTTATCATTTGTAAAAAGGGACAGTATCTGCTTTATGGAAATTTGTAAGGACCAAATACGGCCAGGGGTGTGAAAATTTTAACTCAGAAGTCTGCAACATGTTTATGTTAAACTGTATTTTACAAAATAGCAGAGGGTCCCACATGGCCTCATTTTCACTACTAATGGAAATGGCATTTTTTAAAAAATATATTTTATTGATTTTTTACAGAGAGGAAGGGAGAGGGATAGAGAGTTAGAAACATCGATGAGAGAGGAACATCAATCAGCTGCCTCCTGCACACTCCCTACTGGGTATGTGTCTGCAACCAAGGTACATGCCCTTGACCGGAATCGAACCTGGGACCCTTGATTTCGCAGGCCGACGCTCTATCCACTGAGCCAAACCGGTTAGGGCAGAAATGGCACTTTTTAATTTCTTATTACTTGATCATTTTTATTATATACTAGAGGCCTGGTGCATGAATTCATGCATGGGTAGAGTTCCTCGGCCTGGTCAGCAACCGGGGCTGCTCGGGGCCAGCTGGTGGGGGGAGGGACTGAGGGAGATTGGCCAGCCAGCTAGGGGGAGGGACCACAGGAGATTGGCTGTGGGAGCGCACTGACCACCAGAGGGCAGATCCTGTGTTGAGCATATGCCCCTGGTGATCAGTGCGGGTCATAGCAACTGGTTGACCAGTTGTTCGGTCAACCAGTCTTAACAGTCGCTTAGGCTTTTATATATATAGTTAAATGTAATCCAATGATTATCTTCACTGGTTGTACATAAACTATTTTTTCATTTTATAACTGTCAAGTTGTAGATAGTTTCTCTATACTATATGAATTATTAACAAGTCACTGTTTAAGTGTTAGAGATATCATCTGATAAACTATAAGAGGTTTTGTTTTCAGTAAATGTGTAAATTAGAATTTTGGTTATCTATAACCAAAGGAGTAGACTAGGAGACAGAAGTTTTATGATCTCATACAAGCCCTTCTAAGTAAATGCAGCTTTCTAAGCCACTGCTTTTTTTTGTTTTTTAAATATAGTGAATTAGATGTTGTTTTTACACCAATAAGAAATATTAGAGATTTTAAATTAAGATTTTAAAATATCTTTCCAGTAATTCATTGTCACTTACAAATATTTATTGTCACTTACAAATATTTATACTATACTCTCAAATGGCTATTTCTGCATACATCATTGTAATTAAGTATTTTTACTCCATGTGTATGTGTGTATATGCCAATATATACACAGACGCTTTATTGTACTTATAATCACAGAACCACAGAATCAAATAGATGTATGTAAACATATACATATTGATATATACTCATGAACACATACACACAAAAGTTTCAAATTGCATTGCCTACGAAAGCCAGGCAAATGACACAAAAGAGCTGGGACTGTGGCAAACAGGAAGGCCATGCCCTCATTTAAATAGGACAGTCACCATTCAACCCCAGCCAATTGTTATCATATAGACCTGTGTGCAGAATCTACCAGTATTTCGGGACTAGGGATTTTTATGCATGTCTGCCCAAATGTTAACTGTTGGCTACAAATTCAGAATTTCCACAAGCATTATATGAACCAAACAACAACACATAGGCTGTTTACAGCCTGTGAGCAAGCAGTTCACAACTTCTGATGTATAAATAGACAAACATAATAGAAATGTGCTCTTGAGTGTGTAATTCAGTAGGTTCTGCTTAAGACATACTGAAGTTCCTTTTTGAATTTGGGTTCTTAACAAGATAGAGAGAATGGGTGGCTAGGAGGCATCTCTATCTCAGAACAAAGTAATTAGGTAACAGAGTAGTAGTATAAAAGCTTACTTTTGAAAGTATGTGTATATGCATGGTCTATAGCAGTAAGCTGATAAACATCATTTATTAAAGAAATACACAAAGACTTCATTGTTTTTTTAAAAAACAGCAAAAAAGTCTTTTGCTTCTTTGGTTTAAATTTAATATGGGTATTTTTTTTTTACTATATTAATTTCTTAGAAAATTATCCCAAATAATATTTTAGCTCAAATAGGAACTAGAAGTTTTGGCCCATAATTTATGAAATTTTCTTGGTTTTTATTCAATCCAACTTAATTTAATCTAACTTAGTTATTAAGTGTAACAATTTAATTTTTATTAAATGGTCTTTTCTCATTATAGTAAATATTCTCTTTTTCATTATTTCAGAGTGCTAAAAGCTCAGTGTTGTATGAAAACTGTAAGATTTTTGTGAATAAAAATTAATAAATTAATTGGAGAAGAGACTTAGTAAAACATTTTAATTATTTCAGCTAGTGACAGGGGTTAGTGATTCTTTGATATGGTATCGAGAAGGTGTTAGTTTTATGGTTTGCTTTATTATTTTTTTAAATACATTTTATTGATTTTAGAGAGGAAAGGAGGGGGGGGAGAGAGAAACATCAATGATGAGAGAGAATCACTGATTGGCTGCCTCCTGCACGCCCCCCACTGGGGATCAAGCCCACAACTCAGGCATATGCCATTGATCGGAATTGAACCCAGGACCCCTCAGTCTGCAGGCTGACGCTCTATCCATTGAGCCAAACCAGCTAGGGCATGGTTTGCTTTATTATTTTAGTCATTTAAAATATCTCAACCATACTTTTAGCCACCAATAGGGAACTAAATATTTTTTTAAATTTTTTTCTTCAATTACAGATTGCATTCAACACTATTTTGTATTAGTTTCAGGTGTACAGCACAGCGGTTAGAGAATCATATAATTTACAAAGTGTTCCCTAGAACCAAATATTTTTAATTGCTTAATTAAGAGAAATTTTTTTAAAAAGTGCTGCTAGAAGAGATCATGAAATTCTCAAAGAAATTGATATGAACTACAAAGAAATATTTCTGGCCAAATTTATTGCAAAAATACAGCCAACTTTAAATTATGGCTAGATTAAATATTGACTGCATTCTAAGACTTAACAGTATTGGTAAAAGATGAAATAATTTTTTAAAAGAGGGTAAACACTATTCTGGAAAATCAAAACAAAACCCATACATTACCAGTGATATTGCATATCACTTTTCTCTTATATATTATATTTATTATAATACTCAACTCAAAATTTCATCTTATTTTCCTGTTCTAAATTGGGTTGGTGTGTTCATTGTTACATCAATGTACTGCCTGCATTTTCAGTTAGATTGCATGAGGCCACATTGAGATTTTCTTTCATGTAATTTGAGAGTTTGAATGACCTTACCAATTGTGTTGTTTACCTTATTTTATAGATGAGGAAAACAGGGCCTTGTACATATTTTGTACAAAGTCCCATAGCTAGTTACTGACAGAGTCCTAGCTGAAATTTTACATGCTTTGATTCCAAATATAATCTATTTAATATTTCTTTATTGTTTTCCTCAAAACAGACGTCTTTTCTTTTTCTTCCTTAGCCTTCACCACTTCTTGGTTCATACCTCAGAACACAAGTTTGTGGAATTCTCTTTTTATAGCAAACGCATTTTTTTTCTTTATCCAGAAAAAAAAATCAATTTCCAGTAGATTTGATCTTACACAGGACTTTTTCTCTATTGGGTAATTCATGAGCTATTTTTTATGTCTTGGCCTAGCTTTCTAATTACCTTTTCAAACTTTCTTATTAATAAGCTTTATATTTTATATTTTTGTTTCTATTCATCCTTGTTCTTAATTATATTGTGCTTTAAAAGATAGTGCTTTTGGCCTGGCTGATGGGGCTCAGTGGTTGAGCGTTGACCTATGAACCAGGAGGTCACAGTTTGGTTCCAGGTTGGGGCACATGCCTGGGTTGCAGACTTGATCCCCGTGGAGGGCATGCAGGAGGCAGCCCATCAATGATTCTCATCACTGGTGTTTTTCTCCCCTTCTCCCTCCCTCTCTGAAATCAATAACTAACGGACTAAATAAATAAATAAATAATTAAAAAGATAGTCTTTTTGTATCTTTAAACAAGTGACTGAGTGATCTAGATCAAAGGAACACTGCTGATAAGTTCTGTAGTAAAGGTGGGTTACCCTGAAATCAGTGTCTTCATGTTTTAAGATTTCTTAGGATAGATTTTTCAGCCTTATTATAAGAGAACAAATTTGTAGATCTCTTTTGAAAATAATAAAATTATTAACTTCCTACCTCATTTACTTTTTTTTTATTAAAGGCAAGTGGTCAAACTCTAAAATTCAAAAAACTTCATGTCAAAGGAAAAAAGACTAGTGATTCAAAGAAAGCAAAGAAAGGACCTTTGACAGGGGATACTGAAGATGAAGACTCTGCATCTGCAAGCAGTTCACTGAAAAGAGGAAACAAAGACCTGAAAAAGAGGAAAATGGAGGAAAGCACTTCCATGAACTTGTCAAAGCAAGAAAGCTTTGCTTCTTCTATTAAGAAACCTAAACAAGATGATTCCAAGGACCTAGCTCTTTGCAGGTATTATTTCAGTTGCTATGCACTACATATTCATAATATCTCATTTTATTTGTTTAGCGACCTTCTCACAATTTGTATAAATAGGAAAATATAAAAGTCTATAGTACAAGTAAATGTATCCTTTTACCTCTTTTAATAAATTAATTTGCATTGGACTTGAAATATTACAAAAGTTACATTTTTAATAAAAATAGATAATTCTACAGCATAGATATTGATTTCAAACATTATTCTCTTTAGTATGATCCTCACTGAAATGGAAACTCATGAAGATGCATGGCCTTTTCTACTTCCTGTAAACTTGAAACTTGTTCCTGGTTATAAGAAAGTTATTAAGAAGCCTATGGATTTTTCCACAATTAGAGAGAAATTAAGTAGTGGACAGTAAGTAAACCATTTAAGTTCAATATTTATTGAATGCTTGATATGTGCTAGATAATTTTCTAGGTAATTTTCTACTGAGTCAAAAATACATTAACTTACAGCAAAGACAGAAGCCCTGACTTTGGTGTGTGTGTGTGTGTGTGTGTGTGTGTGTGTGTGTGGTGTTGTTGGTTAGAGTGATATGGTATGGATGACAAGTCAATCACAATTATTTAAATAATTAAAAAGCTGCTTTTGACATTGGAAGGGTACTGAACTCCACCTGGGAGGAGAAGAAAAGTATGGAGGAAGCCTCCCACAGTAAGTTAGTAATGTGTGAGCTGGAGCTTCTTTTGGGCATCAGTGGAGTGTTGACATCATCTCATGTGGATTTAATAAAAATTGATCCTGTAATGTTGTCAGATTATTACATGTAGGGAAAGGAGATCATTGGAAAATTTAAGTATTAAAACTTAATTATGAGTTATTGGAGGATTCCAAAAACATGTATTTTAAGTGTGGAACAAAACTATTATTTGCTCCTTTCTACCATATTCTCTTTGTGGCCCTGTTTGAAGAGTAACTTACTGGCCACAGTTCATGATCTTAGACCACCTCAGGCTCCTGCCAGAGTAGCAACTGTTAATGGAATTTAACTAGCTCTTGATGCTGGCCCATCTTGGAGTCACAAGAATGAGGCTGTTCACTTGACAGAATAAGTCCACACACAGGCCAACCACATGTGCATGGCCAGTGTCTGTGAGCTGTATTTTCTTACCCCTTCCCTGCTCCCTTTCTTCCCATCCCCCGGTTTAGCTTAATATAGCTCATGCCCATCACTTCTGGCAAAGTCACAGAAAATATGGAGAAAGAAGGAACTTTACATTGAAAGAATAACTACAAATTGTAGTGTAATTATCATTGTTGTTATGATCCTCATTATTATATAGTACTAGAGGCCTGGTGCACGAAATTCATACATTGGGGGGCGGGGGGAGGGTGTCCTCAGCCCAGCCTGCACCCGCTCCAATCTGGGACCCCTCGGGGGATGTCCGACTGCCCGTTTAGGCCCTGTGGGATCGGGCCTAAACCAGCAGTTGGACATCCCTTTCACAATCTGGGACTGCTGGCTCCCAACTGCTCGCCTGCCTGCCTGCCTGATTACCCCTAACTGCTTCTGCCTGCCAGCCTGATCACCCCCTAACCACTCCCCTGCCAGCCTGATCGACACCTAACTGCTCCCCTGCTGGCCCTATTGCCCCCAACTGCCCTCCCCTGCAGGCCTGGTTCCCCCCAACTGCCCTCCCTCCCGTGCTAGCCTGACCACCCACAACTGCCCTCCCCTGCCAGCCATCTTATGGTGGCCATCTTGTGATGACATGGGGGTGGCCATCTTGTGATGACATGGGCCTGGCCATCTTGTGAACACATAGGGGTGGCCATCTTGTGCGAGGGTGTGATGGTCAATTTGCATATTGCCTCTTTATTATATAGGATATTATTTAGTTTTTCCTGGCATTCCTTTGGTGAAAATCACCACGCTCCATAATTTACATTCAATTTAGAAGAGTTGAGTAGAACTTAACGGGTAATGAATGTCCCTCTCATATAAAATGATTTACTAGATTGACCGAATGACTACTTTATTTCTTTGAAGATTGAAATGTCAGTCTTTCAAAGGATTGTGGTTGTTTTTTTAATTATAGAAAGGACCTGCCCAGAGAACATTATAAAATCAGAAAACATTTATAATCATTAAAACTATTGGCTCTAATGTGAACCAAACAGCAAAATGTATAGATATGGACTAGTTCTCTTGCTTTTTCTGTCTGTCCAAATAATTGGGTGTTTATGGGGTAGTACAATGGACTTTAAAATCCCCATGCCAGGACAAGATGTACACAGAGAGACTTGACCATGTTTAAAGTAACTCATGACTCTAACTTCCATGATTCTTTGAATTCCTGGAGAAGATTAACCACAACCTCCAAACCCCCCAAACAAACAGACTTACGCATTAAGACAAAGTTACCAAAAGAGCTATATAATCAAAGTTCCCTTTTGAGAATGAATCCTGGTGAATGGAGGAGATCACACGGAGACAGGCAGAGAAACAGTCTGTTCCAATCCTGTTTGTGATGCCAACTGTGTGAGAGGCAAGATTCAGTGGATTCAGTCTCCTCTAGTGTGAATTGTTCAGTTAAACCCAACCCAATGAGTTGGAACCAAAACCCACGAACAGTATTTCATAGTTTTAAACTAGAAGTGGATAGAACAGTGAGGGTTCCTGGAAGGGCCTACTTTAATGAAAACTGCTGGGTTTCATCAGTGCCCATTCTTCTATAAAAGAAGGGCATAGAGTGGGGTTGCCTTTATCTCACCCCGAACATTGCCTAGAATTCTCTCTCGGATTCCAGTCTCCCTAGCATTAATCATTAACCTTTCCTATGGTAAGGAACAGCCTACAGCTTTAAGCTGTTGTATATGAATTATACACATGTTATATGATTCCATTTATGAGAAATTTCCAGAGCACAGATGGGTGCTTGCCTGGAGGTGGGAATAGGGAGGAATGGGGAGAGACTGCTTAATGGACAATGTGCTTTGGAACTACATAGAGGTGGTGATAGGACAGTATTGTGAATGTACTAAATGCCACTGAATTGTGTACCTTAAAGTGGTTAATTTTGTGTTATGTGAATTTCAACTCAATAAAAAAATAATTCCAAGAAGAACAGGAAATGGATAAGGTTATAAATAAGGCCTGAATTAACTTTGTGAGCTCATTACAGAAAAAGAAATTCTGTTTCTTTTATTATCGCACATAAAAAAAGAAGGAGGGAGTGGAAACTGTACAAGTTATTTCATCAAAAAAATACCTCCACTTTTATCAGGTTGCTCAGAGCTTTAGTGTGTGTTGCTAAGGTATTTATAATGGGAAAGTTATCTTAGTACTAGCTTATCATAAGTTGGAATTCATTTAAATTTGAATTTCCATAAGCCCTGAAACAAACCACTCCTTTCTTACCAATAAGTTCAGGCAGATTCATTCACTCTTGTGTTCTCTTCCTCATGTTCGTACAGAAAAAGAGAAGTGGGCTCTCCCACTAAAAAAGCACTGAGCCACAATGTTGCTTACTGAAAGCCAGGTCCTCATAATGCTATCTTGGGTGAAGGGGCAGCACATGCTTTTTTTGGATCATCATACTCCCAATACTTGAGCACAATAGTATATTTAAAGAGAGAAGAAGAGAAATGGGATGTATGTAGAAGGCACAGGGCGAGTACCATGTTGACAGTGCATAGGAAGCACTTATATCTAGTGCAGATATTTTGAATGTGAACAATAGGGGTACTATGAGCGATACAGTTGGTCAGAGGTGTTAATAAATGAATCAAATGGGAAGAGTCCTATAACAGAATTGTGATATAGGTAAACCAGGAAATTGGATGTGGGGGAAATGCTAGTAAGTTGAAATTTATCTTGTTTTTCAGAGAAATCTGTTTTTCCATTTCATCTGTCTTTAAATCCTATGTGGTTCAGACCACATGCAATTATTTTACATATTCCATGTATAAGAGGGAATAATACGTTTTCTATCACTTTAAGTGCAGGTATCCTAATCTTTTTCTTTTCCCTTTTAGTTTTCCTTTTTATTTTACCTTTTATTACCACTTTATTTGGTTACAAAACAAAACCACCCTACAAAAGCAACCTCTAAGTCATGTGTTTTCTTTCAGGTATCCGAGCCCTGAGTACTTTGCTCTGGATGTCAGGCTTGTGTTTGACAACTGTGAAACATTTAATGAAGATGATTCTGACATAGGCAGAGCTGGCCACAGTATGAGGAAGTATTTTGAAAAAAAGTGGACAGATACTTTCAAAGTGAGCTGAAGTTATAATCTCTCTTTTCTTTCCTTTTAAACAAGGACAAATGAGACCAGCAATGTGAACTGAATTTACATAAATGTGCAAGGCACATATATAATGACTTTTTTTCCTTAAAATAAGTATCAAAAAAAAAAGTATCAGAAGAATGATACCATTTTTAAAGGCTTCACTCCTACAACAACCAAGGCCCTTGGTTATTGGTTTGTGTGATTTATCAGCTAATTTAGGTAGAACAGGGAAGCACACCCAAAGAATTTTCAAAGGAAAGGGTGTTATAGTGCAATAGCAATTAAAATATATCAAATCGCACTGAATATTCAACACCAGAGCTCTAACGTGGGAAATGGTTCTCCTTTCCCTCTCAATAAATATCTATTTTTCATTTTTTTACTTTGTAGTTTATTTTTTAGTGAATGTATTTAATTTTATGAATTATTTATGATTAAACCACATCCAGAATCTTCGTTTTCTGTGAAAAGGAAGAACTAGTAAATTGCTTTAAATCTTGAAAATACAACAAGGAATGTTTTAAAATATAAAACAAAGCCAAGTTAAACTGTTTACACTGATGTGCTATAAAAGCACCAAAAATAAACTTTACTGTAGAGTTACAAGTACATTTATATATATATATATGTTGCTGCATCACTTGTGTAGTTAAATTGTATTTCAAGACAGTGAAGAAAAGTTGACATGTATATACTGTTCATTATTGTTTATATTAAGTCTTGCTTTAAATATGTATTATGTGTATATATTGTTTGCAGACATTATTGTTTATGCCTTAGAAGGACTGTAGCATTTTATTTTAGTCTGAAGGTAATTACAGCTCTACAGCTTGTACAGTAATTATCCTCTACCAACACTGTGGCGTCTCCTTGATCTTGGTAGTGCCTGCCTTTGAAACAGGGTGTAGGGGATATTAGTTTTCCATTTTTCTATTTTGTTATATAATTTTAAGCCACCAGGGCCTAAATTAAAGTATAATCATTTGTATCCATGTGGAATAAAATTGTGACAATTTCCTACACACACAGTATTTTTTCATAGAAACATTTCCCTCCCATTTGCCTTGCCTCAGAAATAAATTTAAAAGACATTTGTAACCACTGTGTTTTATCTACTGTGTGTTGTGGTGGCCTGTTGGAGGCAAATAGATCAGACTTTTTTTTGTATCTATGTAAGAGTACTTGAAGTTTTATTTAAAATAAAATGTTGTGGAAAAGGTAGCATTCTTTTTTTTAGGAGTGTTATTTTTCACTACTATGTGTGGCACGGATACAATAAAAGACTTTTACAAACTAGCTTTTAGTTTTTCTTAATCTGAAAATACAGTCTTTCCAAAACTCAATTAATTTAAATTTGATTTTTATAGAATCATAAGGGAGGAGCAGCAGAGTGTGGTTCAAAGAACATTGAGCTGGGGGAAGGTGGGGTGGTATTAAGTCACCTGATAGAACTTTCATGAGTCTCTGAAACTCTCTGGACCATGTTTTATTGTGGTTGTTGGTTGTTGGTTTTCTACATTTTCAATATTAAAATATTAAAATAAATTTTAAGGTGTTGTTCTGAGAAGAGAAATGTCTCTATTGGTAGACACATAACCCCATGATCCCTAAGAAATTTCGATCATATAAATTAGTCTAATAAGTCATGAGACACGAAGTGCAGCATTCATGAGAAGTGACGTGACACCTTGCTGGGCTCTGGAATCACGGCGAACACGACAGACTCAGGCGCGGCCTTATGGAGCCTGTTGCCTAGTGCAGAAGTGGCCCTTAGATAAAGTTCTTAGAAAATGGCTTTTAATGGTGAAGGGAGAATAAAATAGTTTTGAAGAAAATATTCTTAAATTGAAAATGCTTCAAAGCCACAGAGTATTTTCTAAAATCCCTAGACTGTTTGTGAAGACTTACATAAAAATCAGCTGTTATTATGTAAATATGTCAGTTTCTGTTAACCAAATATTGTGGTGATGCCTTAAGGGGCTGGTGCTTAATCAAAAAATACCATGTGGAGCAGGACACAACATGGTGCTATGAAAAAAGTCTTCGGTTTTGTGTTTATAGAACCGCCAGATGCTTCCTGGGGCGTCTTCTTCAGGAGGGCTTTTTGCCTTAGGGATGATACATGCTTATGGTAATTTATATTAGATGGTACATAAGTGGCTTATTTGATGATAACGTCTGTTGTTTGAGAAATAAAACACACACACACACACAAAAGAACAATTTTTCAAGAGTGATCATATTCTTTTAAAAATAAGATATCCTGCCCAGCAAGTGTGGCTCAGTGTTTGAATGTCAACCTATGAACCAGGAGGTTACAGTTCGATTCCCAGTCAGGGCAAATGCTCTGGAATACGAGCTCAATCCCCAGTAGGGGGTGTGCAGGAGGCAGCTGATTGATGATTCTCTCATCATTTATGTTTCTCTCTCTCTCTCTCTCTCTCCCTTCCTCTTTCTGAAATCAATAAAAACATTTTTTAAAAATTAAAAAAATAAGATATCCTTGGTTAAAGCCAATTACTATATTATGAGGACGTTGTAGCACCCCTAAGGGATAGCCAATACCTAGCACCAACTCACCAACAATGTGACTGTGGCATCTTAGAAGTAGACCCTTCAGCCCAAGGCAAACATTCAGATGACTGGAGCCCCCCACCGACATCTTGACTGCAACTTCACAAGAGACCCTTAGCCAAAACTACCCAGCTAGGCCACTCCTGAATTCCTGACCCACAAAAAAAGATGAGATAATAAAGGTTTGTTATTGTTTTAAGCCACTCAGTTTTGCGTAATTTGATGTGGCCAGTTTCTCTAGGATCTTATGTAAGGAGGCTCTGCGCTCTCCAGGCGACCACTTTACACTCCAACAAGCAGTGGAGGAGGATTCGTTTTCCCCACCTCCCAACCGATGTTGACTGTTTGTTTGGATTATTTTTCCCTAATAATTAATTACAGAGTTTGAATTTGAGTAATGTGTTTCAAAACTATCAAGAAGTTTCTCTAGTCATATTAGCTTCAACTTTGATTTGCCTTTTGAAATTTTTGTTTTATGTAGATACGAGAGGCCCGGTGCACAAAATTCATGCAGCGGGCGGGGTGTGTGTCCCTCAGCCCAGCCTGCACCCTCTCCAATCTGGGACATCCCTCTCACAATCCAGGACTGCTGGCTCCCAACCACTCGCCTGCCTGCCTGCCTGATTGCCCCTAACCCAGTGGTCAGCAAACTGCAGCCCCTTCAGTGTGGCTCTTCCACAAAATACCACGTGTGGGCGTGCACGTACAGTGCGATTGAAACTTCATGGCCACACTCAAGGGGCCAAAGAGCCGCATGTGGCTCGCGAGCCAAAGTTTGCCGACCACTGCCCTAACCACTCCCCTGCCAGCCTGATCGACACCTAACTGCTACCCTGCCGGCACAATTGCCCCTAACTCCCTCCCCTGCTGGCCTGGTCGCCCCCAACTGTCCTCCCCTGCAGGCCCAGTTGCCCCCAACTGCCCTCCCCTGCAGGGCTGGTCCCCCCCAACTGTGCTCCCCTGCAGGCCTGGTTGCCCCCAACTGCCCTCCCCGCAGGGCTGGTCTCCCCCAACTGCCCTCCGCTGCAGACCTGGGTCCTCCCCAACTGCCCTCCCTTTCAGGCCTGGTCCCTTCCAACTGCCCTCCCCTGCCAGCCATCTTGTGGCGGCCATCATGTGTCCACAGGGGGGTGGCCATCTTGTGTGTTGGAGTGATGGTCAATTTACATATTACTCTTTTATTAGATAGGATTGTATCTAACCCTATCTGCTTTCCAGCAACTAAGGTTTCCAGTGTCATGATATCTAGGAAAAGAGACTGAATCACCTAAAAGATGCCAGGTGAGCACAGAGTCAACACAGTGAGAAAGTTGTTCTTAGGAGTGTTTTATCCAGGTATTGGTGGGGGCAGGGGAACCAGCCCTTCTCCATAACCGCAGAACACAGTGGAGACCCTATACCTGACAACTCCTGGGCCTGCTGGACAACGCACATAAACTGCTGGACAATGCACATAAACAGCACATCCTGCCCCTCAGCGCCTCCTTTTGCTCTCTGTCATGATGTCTATCCCCATTTTTTGTTCCTGAGAAATTGAAATATCTCAGATTTCTTTATTATCACATTTACTCGTTCTGCCTATTTAAAGTTATATCTAGCCATCTGATCGGAATTCTGGGTATTTTCCAAATTCATCATGAGTCAGATGTTTATCGACACCCTCTTGTTGTTTACATAGAAATTCTTGTGCATTATGTATGGATATAATTTGGTTTCTTCTCCTTTCCAAATTTCTGTGAGCAGCTAGAATTCATATTCCCCCTTTACTAAGAGTATTACTATTATGGGCTGTGTATCTTCCATTCTCACCTGACATAGTTCCTCAAGAGATTGTGATGTACACATTTTTAAACACCCAGCATCTAGTATAATATCTGACTTATTAAAGGTACCTAATAAAACTTTGCCAATAAAGCCTTCTAATCAAGGAGAATATGCAAAAGTATGTGCCGCACTCTGAAATCAATACTAAAACGGGTTCTAAGTATATTTTAGGTAACAACTATGCCAGAATAAAAGTTTATCCAAAATTGTTTTCAAACGAACAGTTCTTATTGTATGTATATTTGGACTATAATTCATGAGTATGCAATCATATTACTTTATAATATCTTGAAGCTTAGTCATGTTCTGATAGAGTATACCTCTTTTCTGGGACATGTTGTAAAGGCTCATCCTATATAATAAAAGGCCAATATGCAAACTGTCCCCTGGGGAGTTTGACCAACCAGGAGTTTGATCACTCTCTAAGACGTGCGCTGACCACCACGGGGCAGTGTGGAACGCAGAAAGGCCCCGATTGGCCTTGATCATGGGCCAGGCTTAGGGACCCTACCCATGCATGATCACGGGCCTCTAGTGTCAATAATAAAGAGCCTAACTAACAGGTCCCAGTTAAATTCAATAGGTGAAAAAGAATGGGTCATCTAATACAAGTGGAATTTCTTTGTAACTTTCCAGATTCCTTCTCTCTGGTCTTTGTCTTTGACCTCAGCCCCTTCCAAGAAGGACTCTAACTTTGATCTAATTTCCTTTCAAAGGGGTCAACATCTGCCATTATGGTAAAATCATTACTACCATAAAATCAGAGACTTCTAGCTTTCCATCTTCCTGGGCACATGGTAAAATTGTATTTCCTATACTCCGTGTGGTTGAATGGGGCCATTTGACTTGTAGTCCTGGCCAAAGATATTTGAATGCAAATATGCATCTCTTGCAAGCCAACCATTTAATTTTTCTTTTTTTTCCCCTGGTACAGCAACTAGTAATGTTCAAAATGATTCATGCTCTGTTAGCCTAGTTCTCAAATAACTATGATGAACAGAATTCCCTACCAATTCACAATGGACATATAGCATATTCAAGAAATAGCCGAAACCGGTTTGGCTCAGTGGATAGAGTGTCGGTCTGTGGGCTGAAAGGTCCCAGGTTCGATTCCGGTCAAGGGCATGTACCTGGGTTGCGGGCACATCCCCAGTAGGAGATGTGCAGGAGGCAGCTGATCAATGTTTCTCTCTCATCGGTGTTTCTGACGATCTCTCTCCCTTCCTCTCTGTAAAAAATCAATAAAATATATTTTTTTAAAAAAAAGAAATAACTTTCTTGCTTTAAGTCTTTGAGATATTGGGATTCATTGTTACTGCACCATATTCCAGCCTATCCTGATGTTCACAGAATGGCTATCAAACCACTGGATTAGAAGTGCTCAGGGAGAAAGTAGGCTTCGTAAGACTTATCCCATTTCTGTATCCCACACCTAAAAAGGGGTCGTAGAAAAGAACTAGAATGCACAATAGAGGAAAGTGCGATAAAAGATTAAGAGGATCTTGGGAAAGCAAGTAGATTGAACTGGAGTACTCTACTATTGTCAGAAAAGACTACTAATGTATATCACCCTAGGTTCAAAAGGGGAAACACTGCTTTTGAAAAATGTAATAATGAAAAACAGAGACACCGAGAAAAATGGAGGTGCTGGAGGGCCTTCTGAAACTGGGATGCTGTGAATTTGTGTGGACGATGCCTTATGATATTTGGAGACTCAAATTGTAATCCACCTAAAGGAGCATGATAGGATTTTATTAATGCAAAGAAGCTCTGGGTTTCAGTCAAAGCAGTGCTTAGAGGGGTTTCAAATTCATAACCTAAACTTCCAACAGAAAAAGATAAGCAGACAACCTAAAGCAAGCAGAAGGAAAGAAATAGTGGTGAGAGCAGAAATTAAT